GGGGGGTGGGGGCACACCTCGGTCAGATACTGGACAGCCAGCTCCATGTCGAAGTTGGCTTCATGGAGAGCATCGGCGGCGTCGTCGTTGCTGAACCCCATGCCCTGAAGTTGTTTGAGGCGCTGGAAGTACTCGAGCTGGGGTATTTTCTCTGGCTCGTCGCTTGACATGGTGGGAGCGAGCAGTGAAAGATGTTTTTGAACAAGAGTAACCGGCGTAATCAAGCAACGAGTGACGGCAATCTGACCAAGTCAAGGCAGACCACGAGGCAAAGTATGTTGGTGTTGGTGAAGGGGTTGTCGTAGCCAGGTTTGAAAGACTGTGTGTTCACATCAAAGACCAAGCCTCAAATCTTGCCACTTGCTGTATCAGTCACTCTTGCCCTGGTACCCGGACTTCACCAAATGGCAGGCCCTACCAAGAAGGCTCAACGGTCATGTGGCGACCGGCGTGTCCCCATTCAGAGGCCACTGACATGTTTGACCACCAAAGGTGCTTTCCTAAGCCGGTCTTGCTTTACCCAGCACATGGGCGAGTGGCCTGGGAACTTACATCTATCATGAGGTTATCCGAATCCAATCTCAGCAGGAATCCAGCAGAGGAAGAACCCGTTTCCGGCATCTCACTGACCTAGCCATCATATACACATCGGTGGCTTCTCGATAAACAAAATTCTTGATCATTCTTCATTCAATTCGTAACGTAGTTTCAGTTTAGTATCTCGCAACAAACCACTTCCTAAGACCTCTCAACCCCTACTCAACACAAATTCAACACGTACCCTTCAAGACACCCATCCATCAGCAAAATGCGGGCTTCAGAGCGAGAAGCTCGTCACGTCCGATTGCGCGCCTCCCATCCTGTCCATCTCTGGTGTCGGCGGCGGCAGGTTCTCCGACTTAGTCAAGATCCAGCACGACGCATACATGTTCACCCGATCGATGCAAGCACCGCCTTCGCGCGCTCCAACTCGCTTCGACGTGAAGCCGTGCGCCTCGAATGCCTTGACGTACCAGGGGTGGAGCGCCGATGACCGCAGCAGCACACGGCCGCCCATGCGCAGAGCGCGGTTAAGCTTGGTGATCTGCTGGGCAGCCGCGGTGGCGCCTGGGTCGAACCAGTCCATGCTGTCCATGACGACGGCGACTGTCAGCGTGCCGGGCGTGATGCGCGAGATGACTTCGTCGAGCTCGTCAGTGTGGATCCGGAGGCCATCCAGGGCGCCCGGGCGAGAGAGGCGGGCGTGGGCCTTTTCTGAGAGGTAGTCTGGGTGGCAGCGCTGCGTGAAGTTGGCGGTCATGCACACGTGGTAGTAAGGGTTGTCGACGGCGATGTGCGTCTGTTCCGCAACGGGGTCGAGAGTGTCGAGCATGTAGTGCCAAATAGCGTGGGATCGAGAGTCTTTAGCCTTGGGCGAGGGGCCTTTGACGGCATCACTGACAGCATGGTCGGCCTCTATCATGGCAAGCTGATTCTTGGGGACGCCCAGCGCAGACCACAGGAAGGACTCCTGTGAAACGACAAGGTTGCAGAGAAGCTTTGAGAGGAGCGCAGGTCGAATCTTGGTGCGCCATACCTCTCGCTGCTCGTTAAGGGTCTTGGTGTCAAGGAACTCAGCGACAGCGCGCCTGACGCCGAAGATGCGAGTGATCCAGCGGAAAACGCGAATCGCATGACGCGAGCCTCCCGTATCATAGAGACCGTAGCCACGCTTGTTGGTGAAAACGTGAATGTTCTGAAGCCAATACTGGAACGCACGAGAGGACAGGTGGGGAGACAGCTTCGTCATGAGCAAGGTGCGGAAGTCAGGATGTTTGCCATCGCCAAAAAGCCTCCAAAAGTCTTCATAGGGAAGCGCGCAGTACGAGGCAACCTTGAGCTCGAGGAGGTGGTTCTGGGTGGGATTGAGGTCCACAGCGTGGATGCGAGCTGGGCTCTGCATGGCGTAGGAGAGAATATTGTCTCCAGCGCTGGTGATGGCTAGGACGACGTCGTCGGCGCTGAGCTTTAGAAGACGCTCATCAACCCTCGTGTCTTCCCACGTGAACGCATAGATGTACTCGTCGTTGAATTGCTTGTGCTTCTGGAGCTGGTCGTCATAGTAGATGCGCCAGTGGTGGTTCTGGTAGAAGAATGATGGAAGGGGAAGATTGGCAGACAGATTTTGTATGGCGGCCATGAAAGCCTTGGATCGAATCTCGGGCGCAGATTTCTCAATCGCTCGAGTTAAGGCGTTACGCTGATCCACGGGGTAGAGCAGTGGTGACTCGGTTGCGAGCGCGTCGATCTTCTCGATGATTTCGTGAGGCAGCGCCGAGGAAGAGAAAGGCTTCTTGTGGCATCCAACCCAGACGTAGTAAGGGATGCGGCCAAGAGTCTTGTTGCGAGCATTAATGTTGAGGATGGTACCGAACTTGTACTCGAGATAATCCCTGCGAGCAGCTTCAAGTCCAACGCGATCAATATCAAACCAAGCCCGCCAGAACGTCCGGGAAAGCCAGCTGACGTGGCGGTTCACAAGACCGCCGGTGAAATTGCGGAAGGAAAAGTCAACATGTGACTGAACGTAGAAATCAACAACTCCTAGGACACCATTAGGGGACAGAAGAGAAGTCAGAGAGTCAATGACCGAGTGATAATCAGGCTGGAATGAATGTCAGCATCAGTGGCACGTCAAGCATATAGAGTAACTTACGATCATAGACAAGCTGTAGGACATGGTGACAAGATCTGCGCCGCCATGCTCTGGGCGCTTCTGGGAGAAGTAGCTCAGGACAGGCGAACGGAGAGGAGTAGCGTTGATTGAAAGCCCATCTTCATGGTCTTCCAGACGGAACTTTCTCGCGTCTTCGCAGATGACCTTGACGTTGTCCCAACCCAATCTCTGGAAACGCTTTCGCGCAACATCACAGAGAGATGGAGAGAAGTCGACGAGGTAGACACTGGAGAAGAACTCGGGCACGTTCACGTAAGCGGACATGGCCTCGATGTTCCAACCAGTCCCTCCACCAACCTGGAAAATGCGTAAGCATAGCAATGTGAGTGAAAGACACAATCGAGAGGCGTACGTCAACCCAGATTCGCTTCGTGTTTCCACGACGCTTGACTTGCGCCTCGGCCTGCGCTTTGGCTTGGAGCTGTGCAGCTGAGAGCGCCAGCATGTCCTCCCGCCCCTGGAGGAGTAGTTTTCTGGTGGCATCATAAGCGCCGGCTTGCTTCTTGTAGAAGCTCTCAAGAGCATCCTGTTGGGTGCCTTTCTTGTCGCCGTTATGCGGTTTGATGAAACAGGAGTAGAAGAATAGAAGGAAGGACTTGAGCACGCTCGGCGGCTGGTCACTTCCTGAGGAGGACTTGGAAAAGACCTTGGAGATGCAAACACTGCCAAAGACAGCAAAGGCAACTCCTGCAAGGATGTTCTGCAGACTGGCGTCTAACGCCAGTTTGTTGTTACCACCAAGAGAAGCCATGGTACTCTCGCATTGCAGTGAGTACGAAAAAGGCGCGTTGAAGCAAAACCAAACTTGTTGATCAGTTGAGATAGAGGAAGACAGGTCGTATGAAAGGAAAAGGAAAAGAGAAACCAAAAAGGGGGGATGTGAGAGGCAGGAGCTATATACACAGATGCGTGACCAGCGCGTATTGTCTGCCTCCTATACCTGTTGGGTGCACTCTGGAGGTACATGCGGACAAGACACCCGCCGCGCGACGCGAGGACATGCTCCTGGTAAAATGCCCGCCTGTCTGAAGCACAGGGGCTTCGGTCGATCGTAGCAGGACGGAGATGTCCAAAGCCATGACCGGACCCTTACGTAGGGTAGCTGGAGCTTCCCAGCTCTCACCCGTCATCATCAAGGGTCGTCCGAAAGTCCCCTGTTACCCCACCAAGGCTGGGCACCGCGACCCCGCCGAGTTCTGTATACAGTCTGGCGCCCATGTCTGGTGTCTGAGGTGGACCTCGAGTGTGGGCCAATGGCCAGAGCACATGGGTGATTCTTTGGGGGACTTAAGCATGGATGAGCCCTGCGATTCTCAAAGAGCCTCTTGCCCGCAGCACTGTCCATAGGTGTAGTACAGGTCCAGTGTAACACGCGTGGGATGTCGCAGCTCACCAGTTGTAGAAAAACTTTGGGAGGCCAGCAAGACGTAGAAAAACCTCTGACTTAAGAACGGGTCAGGCTGATTGCGTTTGAATGTCATTGATTCTCGTTTCCTGCTCCGTCTATCGGTTGACAATCTTTGGCGGCCTTCTGAGGTCTTGTCTTGCTGTCATGGCTTCTCCCTCACAGCACTCAAAGAGCTCAAAGAGCGTGCTGGTGACAGCTGCAGGGGTGAGGCCACAGCGAACACGCGGGGGGGTGGCCATCACCAATGGGGGCGGGTCCCTTGGCCACATGTCCCAGATGATAGCTTTCTGGATGTTCTTCACGCTTGGAGAACAACGTCTGAGATCGACATTGAACTCTGGCGCAGATAAGCCGCCGGCTTCAACTCGAAACCACGTCGCTTGATTGCTGTGCGCTCACCACAGCCAACAGAGAAGACCACGCTTCTGGGGCTTTTGATGGGTCCAAGGGAAGCGGGAGACATCGGAACGGCGATGGGCCTTGAAGGTTAGCGAGATGCTTCCAGGGCAATGACGCTGGTCACCAAGGTCGTGTCTTGATGGCCAATGCTGATCTCCATCCTTCAGTAGCCATGTACCTTGGAAGATCTCATGGAACCCAGATGCTGTCACATTGGAAAGACGCCATGGTGGTGTGAGTCTTCAAAGAGCTCATTCTGATGAGGCGCAATCGGGACTGATCGACGATACCCTCTTGACAAGAGCTCTGTCGAATTTTGCCAGATGGAACCAGCTCGGAACGCAGGATGTAGGTAGCCTGTGAATGGAAGATGCTGTGGAAAGGCTCTTGGGTTGAAAGCTCGCTCCGGTGCGGGTTACGGTGCACCGTCTTCAATACTGTGCCAGAGTGCCTGGCACTGTACGCGTTCCTGGCCTCTCGGAACGCTCAGGCTGTGTCAACTGCCAGTGGAACCCTGTGAGTACCCCGCGGCAGACAGGGCAGCCCCGCCTAATTGTTTGACCGCCCATCAAGCAGTGGACGAGGCTGCCTCGTGTCTCGTGCGACCAACCAAGCATCAAATTGTTGACAAACTCAGATACTCGAACGCGCTCTGATCCGCGTGCCCACAACGTCAGGAAGGCCTATATTCTCCACAATCGTACTGAAATCCTCAGCGCCACGGCGGCAGGCAGGCCACGTCGTGCTCGAACCGGGAAGCAACCATGAGCTTCGCGATAGAGGTGCCTGGGACCGCAAACCCCCTGACTCTGCAGGAACTCTGCAGAGCCCTCGAATCGGCGACAGGTGCAGACCATGCCCAGAGGCAGACGTCAGGCCAGCAGCTAGAGTCTTGGGAAAAGCAAACCGGCTACTACTCTTCTCTGCAAGCAAGCTCCCCCTAAACCCTTTTGCACGTGGGAGCAACGGCTAACCTTTACCCTGCAGTTGATCTTCCTTGACAAGTCCCTACCCCGGCAGATTCGGTTCCTTGCTGTGATCCAGCTCAAGAACGGCATCGACAAATACTGGCGGATCGCTCACACAAGTAAAGGTGGCCTCAGTCTCGACGAGAAGAATCTCATTCGCCAGAAGCTCTTTCCAGGCACCCTCGACGAGGAGGATGAGGCACTTGCCCGCCAGAACTCGCTTGCTGCGGCAAGAATTGTTAGGATCGACTATCCCCGTCAATGGCCCGAAGCGCTCCCGAGCCTCATTGCTCTGCTGCGATCTTCTCGAACGGGCCAGCCGCAACATCTCCATGGCACCCTGCAGATCCTCCTCCAAGTGGTCAAGGAGATGAGCACTGCACGTCTTCGTAGCGCCCAAACCGCCCTCCACTCTATTACACCTGAAATTGCGTATGTGCTGGGAGAGATCTATGCAGAAAGGACACCGGTTTGGGTCGACTTCCTAACCGGTGTAAAGGGCCAGGATGGCGCCTCCGAAGCAGACATTGCTATTCGCATCACCCTACTCACCCTGAAAGTCATCCGTCGGCTTCTTATCTCTGGCTTTGAGGCCCCACATAAGGACAAGACCGTGCAACAGTTTTGGACTCTATCCCAAAATCACTTCGGTCAGTTCCTCGGCTTTGTCAGCCAGGAGTCTGCTGTCCCGGAGTCGTATCAAGAGCTCGTCGGGAAGCATCTCCTGCAGTTTACGAAGTTGCACATGGAAATGGCCACATCGCAGCCGACGTCATTCGCAGGCCTACCAAGTTCTCTTCCGCTTATCCACGCATACTGGGATCTGGTTGCCAAGTTCGCCGAGGTGTTCGACAAGTCAGAAGGCATCCGGCAGTCAAGCGGAGACGCAAAGTCCAAGGCCGAAGGACCGCTTCTCGAAAAGCTCACAACGCGTGCATTGTTGCTGATCAAGGCCTGTCTCGACCTGGCTTTCCTTCCAAAACATACTTTCGTCTATCGGGGTCCAGAAGCTAAGAAAGAAGAGCACGAAGCGGTCGAGTTTATCAAGAATGAGCTGTTCAAGGATGATTTTTGCCTGCAGATCGCAAATACTATTCTCACACATCTTTTCGTCTTCCGCCAGTCAGATCTCGAGGCCTGGGACGAAGATCCGGAAGAGTGGGAGCACCAGGAGAGATTCGACAGCTCAGCGTACGAGTGGGAAGTGCGCCCTGCCGCTGAGAGGGTGTTCCTGGGCCTCTTGAACCAAAGGAAGACCCTACTCGTACCTCATCTGCTGTCGTATATCCAAACGGCTACTGGTGGACAGGCTGATTTTGCCACCAAGGACGCGGTGTATACGGCCATGGGCCTGGCGTCCCAACATATCTTCCAAGAGGTTGACTTCAACAGCTTCTTGACATCTACCCTGGTCCCCGATGCCCAACAAACTGGTCCTTTGGCGAAGGTGCTCAGGCGGCGGATATCCATGCTCCTGGGACAGTGGGTGTTCCACAACGTGTCGAACGAAAGCCGCGCCATCGTGTATGGCATCTTCCGTCACTTCATGGACCCCAACGCCGAGGGCAACGACATTGTCGTGCTGATTTCGGCTGCCCGAAACCTACAGATGATTGTGGACGAGCTCGACTTTAGCGTCGACAACTTTGTGCCGCATGCCCCTCACATCCTGGAACAACTTACCCAACTCATTCGAAACGTCAGCGTTGATGAGACGCGACTCGCCCTCTTGGAGACGATGAGACTGGTAGTGACGAGGTTGGAAGCCCACGTCACACCGTTTGCTGATTCCATCGTGGGCGCCATCGTACAGGTCTTCCAAGTCGTTGGCAACCAGGAATTTATGGCGAAGACTGCCATCGTTGCCGTCTTCAGCGCTCTCGTCACATCGATGGGCACCGAATCGCAGCGATTCCACCCCTTGATGGTGCCGCTTATCACAGAAGTCGCGCACCCGACATCCGAGCTCCACACCTCTCTCATTGACGACGTGCTTGACCTCTGGAACTCTATCCTGTCGCAGAGCAATCCACCTGTCTCCACGGAGATTGTCAGTATTGCCCCCTTGCTGCTCCCGATCCTGGAGTATAGCCCCGAGACGGCCGGCATGGCACTAGAAGCGGTCGAGGCGTACATTATTCTTGCGCCTGGGGCCGTGTTGGAGGACACACTGCGCCGTCCCTTCTTGACTGCGCTCTCGGGTGCGCTCGAGGTCAAGAGCAGGGAGCAGGTCAATGCCGCGACGCGATGCATCGAGTACCTCATCAGGGCGGCTCAGGAGTACGGCGGTGCGAACGGCGTGTCGGTGGTCATCCAAGACATGCTCGAGACGGGCTTCATGAAGAAGATCCTCGAGAGGCTCCATGACGCGTGGGAGGCTCACCAGACGACCGGTCCCAACAAGAAGTCCCCCAAGCTCAACACAGTTACCGAGGGCGACTACTTTGCCATTCTCGCGCGCCTCGCCTATGCTGACCCGACGCTCTTCGTCAACATGCTGGCGTCCTTTGGCGACGTGCAGCAGCAGGTGTGGCCCTGGCTGACGACCGAGTGGTTCTTCTACATGGAGAGCTGGGACCGCATCGAGCACAAGAAGCTGACGCTGCTGGGCCTCACGCGTCTGACGGAGCTGCCGAACCCCGTCCAGGACCTGGCACTCGGTAAGCTGCAGGACTACATGAGCCTGTGGGCAGACACGATAGCGGAACTACAGGACGGGGCTGTCGACGGATCTGACAACCTCGTCTGGGGCGAGCAGGAGGGCGACGAGTGGGACACGCCCAAGAGCATCCGCGCCCGGGAGCTCTACCAGAGCGACCCGCTGCACCGTGTCGTGGCGAAGCAGTTTGTCATGGAGAGGGTTCGGGATCTCGTGCAGCGGGCGGGAGGCGAGCAGAAGTTTCAGGACGAGTGGATGGTCAACGTGGATAAGGAGGTGGTGCAGAAGTTTGCGCAGTTTGTGAGCTCATGATAGATGCCAGCTACAGGTTTGCTGTGCTGGGGCCAGGGACTGGATTAAGGAAAAGGGGGGTGAACGAGCGAGATGGCATGAATAGATGACATGAATGATATGATTTGACCGTAAACTCGCTTTCGCATAAGGGACTGTTCAGACTGCCAGGTCCAGGTAGGTACAATCAAGGAGACTGTTCACTACCCCAAGAAAAAAGTTAGCCACAGATGGATTCGAACCACCGTCTCCTGGGAAGAGTAATGATGCTGTTAGGTCTTCGTGGTCGGGCTAGGAGGGAAAGAAACCAGGCGCTCTACCACTGAGCTATGCGGCTGTGTGTTGTTGATTGTTGACCTGGCCGCCTGGTTGTCGGGAAGAAGAAGGGCAGGGCGCGTTCTTCGCGTGCTGTCTGGCAGGAGACGTCAAATAAACGAAGTGGGACACGGGCCTACACGCACAGAATCGCGGGGCTCTTGCATACTCATCACACCGGGCACACATTTCATCCAATTCGATACATTCGTCCACCGTCCACTACACATCAGATCTACAGCTTGCTCTTCTGCTCCCCCTCCTGCGGCACCTTGACGACAACCTTGCCCCATGTCCCCCTGCTGCCGAGCGCCGTCAGCGCAGCCGGCACCCTCTCGAGGCCGTCGTAGCGCTCGTCGGAGAACTCGGTGCCGCGCATCTTGCCGTCCTTGACGAGCTGCATGATGCCGTCCCACACGGTGCCGACGGTCTGGGGCTCGTGGTTGGCGTACTGGCCCCAGTGGATGCCGACGAGGCTGATGTTCTTGAGCAGGACCTTGTTCATGGCGACCTTTTCGATCTGGCCGGCGGCGAAGCCGACGATGAGGATGCTGCCGTTCCAGGCGGTGCACTTTGTCGAGGCGTCGACGGCGCCGACGGGGTCGTAGACTATGTCGACGCCGCGCTTGCCGGGCGTCAGGGCCTTGACGGCCTGGGGCCAGTCCTTGGAGGCCGTGTCGATGGCGTGGTCGGCGCCGTAGGAGAGGGCGATTTCGCGCTTGCGCGGGGTCGAGGCTGTCGCGATGACGGTTGCGCCGAAGGCCTTGGCGACTGGGCGATTTGTTAGCTCTGGTAAAAGCAATGACCCAAAGAAAAAGGAGGAAAATAGAGGAAGAAGGAGAAGAAAAAAAAAACTGGCGGCCTACCCTGCACAGCAGCAAGACCGACGCCGCCGGCCGCTGCGTGGATGAGGACGTAGTCGCCCTTCTTGATGCCGGCACGGACGACGAGGGCGCCGTAGCTCGTCGGGGCCGTGACGAAGAGGCCAGCGGCGGCCTGGAAGGACCAGCCCTCAGGTACGGGCAGCAGAGAGACCTCCTTAGCGACACACTTTGTGGCGAAGGCGCCCTGGGTCGCGCCAAAGACGCGCGAGCCGACGGGGAACTTAGGCGACTTGGAACCGGCTGGCGTCTTCAGCACGATGCCGGCGAACTCGGCACCTGCCACCCAAGGGAAGGCTGGGGATTCGTTAATGGAGATGTCATCATGAGAAACCAAGAGCAAGCTCATGTGAGTGAGGAACATACGAGGCTGGTTCTGGTATTTGCCCTGAATCTGCAGGATATCGAAAAAGTTTGTCGCCGCGGCATGGACCTGGATGAGATACTCGTCTTTCTTGGGGGTGGGGTCGGGCAGGTCAGTGACCTTCAACTCCTTAGGGCCCTGCGATGTCTCAGTCAGTGTCATGCCCTGCTGGTTCAGGAAGGCGCCGTACCTTGACGTATTCCTTGACTTCGATGCCCCTCATGTTGGCGGTGGTCGAAGGGTATATCGTAGGGGGGGGTGATGGGGTAGAAGAGTACGAGCAAATCAAGATGGATTGAACGCTGGGTGTATGGCTTGACAAGTAGCAATTGAAACGCAGATGATTGTCACCAGTTGAGACCAATACGCCGAAGAGATGAGGATGAAGTTGGATGGAGCTTCCTTCCAAGGGGGGATGGAGCTTAGGGAGCTCATGAGGGGCAGCCGAGGCTCAGCGATGCAGTTGCCGGGCGTAACCCCAGATCGGGGACCAGCGTCAATGCACAGTCGAGCGCGATTCGTTCTGGGGACCCCAGGCCTGTGGTCGCCCGAGGCGGGGCTCGTTTCGGGAATCGTCAGTGAGGCGGCGTGGCGTATTTGCCGACTGTCTGTTGTCATCCGTGGCTGGTGGCCGAATCTGTCTGTCCGTGGCTGGCACCTCCGTCCTACTCCTACCTGCTTCTTAGGTACCTAGGTAGGTGCCTAGCCTCAGTGTCACATCACGTCACATCACCACTACCATGACCACTGCCTTGGGACGAGACGATCACCCGGACACGGGCATGAGCATGCGTGAGCCTAGGTGGTCGTGGCAGGCCACAGCAAGGAAAAGAACAGAGCGGCCGGAGATGACAATGGGCCTGACCGACAAGCGAACCCTTCTGCCAGCAGAGCTGCCTCAGTCAGCCATCTCCTGGGCGCTGGGGGGTGGGTTGGAGTGAGGCAGATGAGCGAACGAGCAAGAGAAACACATGGACGGCCGTGGAAGCCGGAGAGTGAGCTTCGGGGCCTGCAGCAGCCAACCGTCTTGGGCACCTCTAGGTCGCACAAGCCATGAGTCGAGGCTCCTTGTGCGTTTGGCAGCGCCGGGCCATAGCTCTGGCCAGAGTCTGCAAGCTGCTCTCTGTTCCGGCCGGTTATACGAAGGTGTCAATTTTGTCTTGAGCATCTCGATGATGAGACAACAGCGGTCGCCGATTCTGTCTGCATCTACCTTAGGTCCCATAGGTACCTCACGTAGCAAGGTAGATAGGTACAGCCAGCCCACGTGAAGCTGAACCACCAGGGGAGCTGTGTGGTACATTTGTGGTGCATCCGCGGTGCCACTCCACTGCGAGGCCCCACGTTTTCCTGTTAGCGCCCCTGCGAGGGTTCTGTTTGGGTCTGGCTTGGGGGGCTCGGGGGGCTTGGGGGGCTTGGGGGCCCAAGTCGGCCCTCCAACTTCAATGAACCAAGGGCCCTCACGTCACCTGTTATCAAGACTTCTCCACTGTCGCTGCAATGGTCCTGGCTCCAGCCTTCCTGCCGCCTGTCCTCATCCTTGCGCGCGCCCCGCCCCCTTCTCTGCCCTTCCAGCCTGCCAGTCTGCTGGAGGGTGGAACTGCCAGTCTGCTGGAGGGTGGACCTGCCAGTCTGCTGGAGGGTGGAAGGTGCTGGTTGTCCAGCTCCGAGATCCGCTTTGGCTTTTACCTTCGCTGTTGCCATCGCCGTCGCTCACCTCTTCTTGATCCCTCTCTCTCTCGCCTCCTGCGATTTCTTCTCGCTTCTGTTATCCACCTCCTCCGAGTCGTCTTACCTCGTTTGCCTGCAACTCATCTCAGAGCGGCAAACGCTCTTCATCTCGTTCACCGCCAGCACCTCCGTGGCCTGCCCGCTTCCCCTTCCCCTCCCCCACCTCAACAGTATCGTCACCTGTCGAACGACCCCTCTTGTTCCAAACCCCAACCGTCCACGCCAATCAGTGCCAGCCAGCAACGTCGAAGATCACCCCACGGGACAAAAAAAATTACAGATAAACCCTCCACGCTCCCGCTCTGCCATGGCCGACAACACGGAAGGCTCCGGCGACGCCCAGATCACCTTCAAGGTGAAGACGGGCGGCGACAAGACCCACACCATTACCATGTCCGAAGGCGCCACCGTCATCGAGCTCAAGACGACACTGGCAGGCGAGGCATACGAGAACGTGCCTGCCGAGCGCCAGCGTCTGATCTACTCGGGTCGCGTCATGAAGAACGACGACACGCTCGCCACCTACAAGATCAAGCCCAACAACACCATCCACATGGTCAAGTCGGCCGCCTCCAACCCCACGCCCCAGCCTGCCAATGCCTCCTCCAACGCGGCCCCCGCCGCCGTCCCCAGCAACATGGGCGCCGGCGTCGGCAGCAACCCCCTCGCCGGCCTCACCGGCGCACGGTACGCCGGTCACGTCAACCTGCCGAGCCGTGAAATGTTTGGCGCTGACGGAGGCGTGAGTATCCCTTTTCCGCCTGCTTGCTGCCGGTATGCCTGCCTTGGCTGCAGTTTTCGCTGACCTCCGCTGTCTAGATGGGCGCCCCCCCTTCCGACGACCAGATGGCTCAGATGCTCAACGACCCCAGCATGATGCAGACCATGAATGCCGCCCTCGATAACCCTCAGTTCATCGACTACATGATCCAGAGTAACCCCCAGCTGCGCAACCTGCCCAACGCCCGCGAGATCATCCAGTCCCCCTTCATGCGCCAGATGATGACCAATCCGGACATGCTCCGCAACGTCATGCGGATGCAGCGCGGCATGATGGGCGGCCAGGGCGCCAGTCCCTTCCCCGCCCCCGGCGCCACCGACAACACACCCGACAACGCCGCTGCGCCTGGCGGCACCCCGGGCAGCAACCCCGCCGGCGGTGCGCCCAACCCCTTCGCCTTCCCTGGTCTCGGCGGCTTCCCTGGAGGCGACATGAACAGCATGATGGCCATGCTCGGTGCCATGAACCCAGGGGGTGCTACTGCTGGCGCGCGCGGACCGGGTGGTGCCACGCCCGGTGCCACAGGTGACGCTGCAGGCGGCGCCAACCCTTCGTCGCCAACCCCGCCCCCGGCCAACCCCTTTGCCGCCCTCTTCAACCCGCCGCCCTACCCTCAAGGCCAGACCCCGGGCCAGGAGCAGCCTGGGCAGGGCCAGCCGGCCAACCCGTTTGGCCAGTTCAACCCCGAGTTGATGCAGCAGATGATGCAGATGTTCGGCGGAGGTGGAGGTGGAGGAGGCTTCGGCAGCCCCGCGGCACCGCCCGACAACCGGCCCCCTGAGGAGAGGTACGCCGAGCAGCTGCGCCAGCTGAACGACATGGGGTTCTACGACTTTGATAGGAACGTCGCTGCCCTCCGAAGGAGCGGCGGCAGCGTCCAGGGTGCTGTGGAGCACCTCCTCTCCGGTTGAACGGTGAGGGCGAAGGCGCATCGGGGCAGGAGGAAAGGCGGGGAATGCGGAGCTGACACGAGCACTGTTCTGCGCGGTAGTTTTTGGAGGCCCGTTTTCAGGTTAGAACAGGGTTCAGGCGCGCGGAGCCCGGGTTCTCATGTACATACATACGTGCTGCGCCCTGCGAAGCCAGTCGAGGGCTTGGTTTTGCGATTCTCTCCTTCTTAGTCGGAAGGGAGTCATGATCCACGATTACGATAGGGATGTCATCACACAGCCCACGATAATGGAGTCTACTATTGATACATGGCGTCTTTACATGTGCTGTCGGCCGTTTGTGACGTGACAAGGTTTTGCTGCCTCGAGCTGCTGCCTCGAGCTGCTGCCTCGAGCTGCTGCCTCACGCTGCAACCATCCGGCCGCTGGCAGGTGCGATGTGATGATGTTGAGGAGGCTACGGAAAGTGGGGCTGGTCAACTTCATCAGACCCAACAACGGCCCTGTTGCTGAAAGACACTGGATCTCGACTCCTCCCCAACATCCATCTCCCCACCAGACAGTGTGCTCATCCAACAGCTGTCATTGTGGGAGGCAATGCCGCCATCATCATGATTCAGGGAATTTTCTATGCGCGTTTCCTGCCGCTTGAAGGTCCCATCATCGTCGCCCAGTCCCCTTCAGGCAGCATTGTGCCGACGCCGACGACCATTGCCGCCAAGCCACCTCTCATCGACTTTGACGTCCTCCAGGAGTACATCATCCCCCGCAAGGCCTTCTTCAACCGATTTCTCACGGTGCAAGATCCAGAAGGGCGATACTCCGTCCTGGGATTCCCCGTGCTCATTCCCGATGCCAAGTACCAGCGCAATGAGTTCATCTTCAACTTTGGCCTTGTGCTCGATGCCGACGCCGAGCAGGCGCCTTACGAACGCGTCGTGCGCCGCCTCGCCGTGACCTTTGCCGAGATGGAGAAGCAGGACGAGTACCTCAGCCAGCAAGAGGCCGACCGCGACGGGCGCCACCCGGGCCCCGGCCACAGCCACAGCCAGAGCCAGAACCGGCGGCCGATCGAGAGCCTCCTCGAGATCATCCGCGAGGACCTCAACAACTACGGCGAGTGCATGATCCCCGTCGACGACGCCAACACGATCAACATGAAGCTCTTCCCGCACCACCCGCCGCCGCCGCTCGTGCGCGGCTGGCACGTGCCCGTGCCCAAGACCAAGCTCGCCTCCATCGTCGACCCGACCTGGGACCTGACGCTGCAAAAGGTCATTGCCCACATTGACGGCGTCTCGGACGTGCGCCGCATTGCCTGGCAGGCCGACGTCTCGCTCGACCTCGCCACCCTCGCCCTGCGCCACCTCCTCTACTACGACGTCGTCCTGCTGCTCGACCTCTTCTTCTTCGGCTCCTGCTACGCGCCCCGCGCCCCGGGCATCCACGACTTTGTCGCCGACGTCGACGGCATGCTCGACGAGTGCGCCGCCTACGTCTCCGTCGGCGCTCAGCGGGTCGGCCGCTTCCAGCTTGTGCGCCTCATGATGAGCTTCTGCGTCGGGCGCTCCGTCATGGAGTGGCTGCGCGGCCACCAGGAGGCTGGCTTTGACGTCCTGCGCCACGTCGACGTGCGCCGCTTTGTCCAGTTTGCCGTCATCAAGGGGTGCCTGTATCGCGTGCACAAGTACGTCGTCAGCAAGCAGTACCTGGCCGCGCTGGCGACGGGCCAGGCGACGCCCGGAGGGGGTGGTAGTGGTGGCGGCGGCAGTGGGGCGTCGGATCCGCTGCAAAAGTATACCGATGGCTGTCACTCCTTTGACCAGATCATCACGGAACGCGACCTTGCGGACGGCGAAATCATGGACAAGCTCAAGAGGTTGCCGCTGCCGCAGGGGGATCTGACTGTGTTTTACAGATGATCACGAGGGCGTATGCAGGGCTGGAGGGAAATTTGCCTGGATGGACAGAAGTCATGAGATTCTATATAGTTTGGGACAAGGAGGTACGGTGTTTTACAGGCGTTTTTCTTTTCCTCTTCTTGAAAAAAGATGGGTCATATACCTCTGCCAATGCTTCTTTTTATACAACGCCTCGCGGCGGGATGACAGCGCCAACCATATTCTTACACGTTCTTTCTTTCTTCCTCACACGCGCCGTCCGCCGTCCTTGGCCTTCAGATCACCATGCACCTTTTGCCTCTCGAGCTTGCTGGGGAACCGAATGTCCGGGTTGTTGGCGACGACCGTCTCCTCCTCCTCGGCGGCGAGCTTCTCCTGCGCCAGGGCAAAGAGCTCCTTCTGCGAGAGCTTCTTGCCCTCGGCCTCGGCGAGCTCGCGCAGCGCGGCAATGGCCATGCGCGTCTTGCCGGTGCCGGGCTCGCCGGGGTACGTCTGGCCCGAGGCCTTCCAGTCGTCGTCCGAGACGACCTCGATGATGCGGACGTTGTGCTTGCCCTTGCGCAGGATGAGGACGCGGTCGTCGACGAGGAACCGCGACACCTCCTCGGGCCGCCACAGCTTGACGGGTGTCCAGTCGAGGTTGCCGGGCGTCAGCGAGCGCATGTCCTTGCCCGGCGCGGCGGCGACGTAGGCGCCCTGCTGGCGGCAGAGGCGGTGCGCGTCGCTGGCCGAGTCGGCGAGGCCCGCGGCGAAGAGGATCTTGGCCGGGCTCTGCGTCGTCACGAGGGACCGCGGCAGCTGCATGTCCATGCGCGGCGCGTTGTTGAGCGTCACGGGCGCGTTGGGGTGCGCGGCCGCGGCGCCGGTGCTCGTGGTGCTGCCGTCCCCGCCCTTGCTGTACATGAAGAGGTGCTGCTGCTGCTCGCGGATGGCCACCTCGGCGCCGTGCACGAGCGTGAGGACCTCAAAGGCGAGCTTGTGCTGGGCGGCGCGCTTGGGCGGGTCGAGCACGTGCTGCTCCATGATCTGGGTGATCTCGGGGATGGGCAGGAAGGTGAAGAACTTGAGGAGCTGCTCGACCTCGTCGTCGGACCGCCGCACGAGGTAGCTGTACAGGCTGAAGGCGCTCGTCATGGTCGTCTCGAGCCAGACGGCGTTGCCGGCGCTCTTGCCGAACTTGTTGCCGGCGCCGTCGGTCAGCAGGGGCACGGTGAAGCCGATGGGGTCCTCCCTCCACGTCTCGGGCTGCTTGAGGTTGGGGTTGGGCTCCGAGGCGCGGATCGTCTTGACGGCCTCGATGCCGGTGACGATGTTGCCGAACTGGTCGGATCCGCCGATCTGCATCTGCACGCCGAGCTTGTCGTAGAGGTGCCAAAAGTCCCAGCCTTGCATCAGGGGGTACATAAACTCGGCGACCGACATGCCGTCGCCGCTTTCCATCTTCGTCTTGACGCTGAAATTATAGATTAGCGTCACATCATCTCCAAAGGGGGGGGGAGGGGGGTCATCGGCTGTGCAGCGGCCAGACTCACGTGTCGCGAGACAGCATCGGCCCCATCCTCAGATATCGGCCGAGCCTCTTCATCACGTCGTACATGGACAGGCTCTGCCACCACGTGTTGTTGTTGACGAGATGCCGTGACATGGACCAGGTCTTCTTGTAGCCATACTTGTGCTTCTCCAGCTCAATGTTGTCCCAGAGCTTCTTCATCTGGTAGTGTATCCTCGTAATGTTGGTGGAGATTTCGCTGTTGGACATGATGGCGCGGGACGTGGTTCGGCCTGTCGGGTCTCCTATCCTCGCTGTCGCGCCGCCCACCAGTGTGACGGCGCGGAAGCCGTGGAGATACATCCAGAAGACAGGCATCATGGGCAGCAGATGGCCGAGGTGGAGGGATGGCGCCGTGGGATCGACGCCGACGTATGCGCCGATGCGCTTGGTGCGCATCAGCTCTTTGATCAGCTCGGGCCGGCTGTCAGCGCATGTCAGTAGAGGTCCTCATGCGGCGGGAGGGGTCGGTCGTGGTGGTGGTGGTGGCGCATACCCTGCGACATCCTTGATGAAGCCTCGCTCCTCAAATATTTCCCAGAGGTTCCGCGCCTCGCCGTTCTTGATCGCCTCTGCCTTCTTTGCCCACTCTTGCGCTGCATCCTCCCGCTTTTGTAGCGTCTTGAGGTGAATGTGTCTCGATGTCGGTAATGATTGAGGGGCAAGCCGTGTGTTGGTGCATCGTCGCCAGATGCTGTGTTGGCATCGGGCCGTCAGAGCCTGCGCCATGGTGAATATATAAAAGGTACCAAAAAAAAAGGGGGCAGGGACCCTGTGACAGATTAAGAGAGCGTTAAGGGTGTGTCGGCGACCGAGAAGAGCATAGTCACACGCTGAATGGCAACGGATCAAGATGCTTGACACCACTGACGGCAACGGCCATCACGAACTGCAGCTCCAAAAATTCAGGGACTCTCGCCTTGGGCTTATCGCGCTGTCTGACCTGCAGCCCGATAAGACACGGGCTCGCTCCAACTACCGCCAAGGCACAACGAGCAGCAGCAGCGGCGAGGCGCCAGATCACGTGCCTCGATCACATTCGCCTGTTCGCACAGTCGGGACGGCGCAGCCAATGGCAGAGCTTCCAATTCAGATCCTCGGCAATCATTCCATCGCTCCGACCCGAGTCCTCTGCATCATCCACTTTCTCAACCTCACGCAAGGCACAGCACGACACGTCCAAGCCGCCCGCCTCAGAACCCCCAGCAACTCGCACCTGCACGGCCGGCAATTCGACTCACGATGGCTTCTTTCATGCGACCCGCTGCGATGCGCCAGGTCGCCACGGCCGCGCGCATGGCCAAGGCCCCCGCCGTCCGCTCCGCCTTTGTCCAGCCCGCCATCAACAACTTCACAAGAGCCACGGCTTTCCACACGACGAGCAAGCGTGACATCCTGCCGCCGCCACCCCGTATGTTTCGAACCCTTCAAATCGATTTTTTTTTTCGGAGAGACAATTGCTGACAGGGAGACGCAGAGGTTGTTCTGGGAGGAGGTACGCTATAATCCCTTGGTCGCAGGCATCCTGTGAAAACCACGCCGATCGTGAACAGACCTAACCCCTCGCGTGTCCAGTCAACGACCCTGCCCCCGTGCCCGCCCCGAGCCCTTCCCACGGCTCCTACCACTGGACGTTCGAGCGCCTCCTCGCCGCCGGCCTCGTGCCCCTCACCCTGACGCCCTTCGCCGCCGGCTCCCTGAACCCGACCCTCGACGCCATCCTCTGCGCCGGCCTGATCCTGCACTCGCACCTGGGCTTCCAGGCCATCATCGTCGACTACGTCCCCGCCAAGCGCTTCCCCAAGTCCCGAAAGGGCATCTCGTGGGGCCTCAACGCCGCGACGGCCCTCGTCGGCCTGGGCCTGTACGAGTTTGAGACGAACGACGTCGGCATCACCGAGGCTCTCAAGAGGGTGTGGACTGCGTAAAGGGAGAGAGAGAGAGATGCTCGTGTCACGGGTGTTTGGAGGAAGGAACGGAGAGAAAGAAAGCTAGATGTGGATGACTGTACAACCAACAGCATAGGCCAAGAGGACTATTTTTTTTATCGATCATACCCCGTATACTGACTGGGGTATTTTGACAACGAGATTCGCAAGACCTTTGCTTCGTCAATTGTCGTGTGGGCACTGCATGATGCAGGCCGCGGCGTGGATATTGAGGGTGGTCGTTTCACGAAGGGGATGCCAATGGCCTTCGTCAGTCTGAAGAATAGGCCTTTCGGATTCGAGATGACCGGAATCGTAAGAGGAGCATTGGTTGAACGCCTTGAACAAGCTCCAGGCTTGCAACCCATTGGGACAGGTACATGCGTTTTCTACCAATCTGAAAACGTGAGTTTTTTTAAGAAAAGAAAAAAAAAGAAAAAAAAGAAAAAAAAATCTACATGGAGAGTACTTTGCTTCATGAGCTGATGCTTTTGTTTCCGCTAATCCTGAGAAGGATCATAGCGAGGGAGCTTGGAAGCTGCAGCAGAAGCCATGTCCCTGTGGACCAAGACCGGCGGGCAGTCTGTACTATGTGGCCGGCGTACAGTATGTGTATGGATACATAGCTGGGCTTGGAAAACAGTTCTCGGCCTGCAATTATCTGTCTGCAAAATCAATTCATGTCAATTCAAGTCTTCTTGCAGCAATCCTCATTCAGTACTCTATCGTATCCCATCAATTGACCTGTCCTACTGGTCATAACCGGGATGCTCTCGATGGATGAGTCAGCACAGACCGCACACTGACGTCGGCCCTCTCAGCTGCGAACCTCGGCTCTTGAGCTGGCTCGACATCGGCCTCCAACCCACCATCTCGCAACCCTCCCCGACAATGCGAGTGCTCAAGCATACACACAGCAGCTTCACCGACGGCTGAAAGCAAAACACCACACACCCAGCAGATGCCGCTTCGATGACCTCCAACTTCGCGCAAGCGCAACAGCGCCTCGCCGCCCGCCAACAGGCCCGCGAAGCCGAGAACGCCGCCCGCCTCGCCGCCCAGCGCGCCGACACCTCGACATCCCGCGCCGCACGCACGCGAGCCCAGCTCGACCGCCTCCCCTTCCCCTTCGCCCGGCTCAACACGGCATGGGACGCCGTCTCGTCCCGCGAGGGCACGCGGCCGGCGTTCCGCGTGGGCCAGGTGGACGCCGAGCTGCTCGACGAGGAGCTCGTCGACCTGCTGCGCGACCAGGTCGGCGAGGCGCTCAAGTACTTTGCCGGCGGGCACCTCAAGGACGACTGGTCGGCCGAGATCATGCTGGCGCTGCGGGCCGTGCTATTCAAGCTCACCGTCTGGGACCACGACGCCACGTACGGCGCCGCGCTGCAGAACCTCCGCTACACAGACGCCAGGAGCACGAGCCCCGTGCTCGTGCCGCCGTCGCCGCTGCAGAAGACGGCCTACGGCCTCGTCACCGTCTTCGGCAAGTACGCCTGGACGAGGTGGGAGGACTGGCTCGTCGAGCGCGACGACGGCCACGACGAGCCGAGCCCGCGCATCCGACTGCTGGCGCGCCTCACCGAGCGCCTGTCGACGCTCCACGCGGGCGCCGCGTGCCTGTCGTTTCTCGTCTTCCTCCTGCACGGCCGGTACCGGACGCTCCTCGACCGCCTGCTGCGCATGCGCCTCGCGCCGCCGACGAGCCAGGTCAGCCGCGAGGTCTCGTTTGAGTACCTCAACCGCCAGCTCGTGTGGCACGCCTTCACCGAGTTCCTCCTCTTCGTGCTGCCGCTCGTCGGCATCCACCGCTGGAGGCGGTGGTTCGCCCGCACGTGGCGCAAGACAAAGGGCATCATGCAGACGCACGGCGGCGGCGGCGACGACGACGGCGTCAAGAGGGGCGAGTTTGCCTTCCTCCCCGAGCGCACGTGCGCCATTTGCTACCAGGACCAGAACACGCTGGCCACCGAGAACGAGATCATGGCGGCCGCGGCGTCGAGCGGCGTTGTCGGCTCGGCGCAGACGGACATAACGAATCCGTACGAGACGATGCCGTGCGGCTGCGTCTACTGCTTCGTCTGCCTCGCGACGCGGCTGGAGAGGGAGGAGGGCGAGGGCTGGACGTGTCTGCGGTGCGGCGAGCTCGTCACGGAGTGCAAGCCGTGGAGCGGCGACGTGCTGGAGACGCCGAAGAAGTCGCCGTCGTCCAAGGTTGTGGCCTTTTCGGACGAAGTAGACGACGCCGTCATGGTGGACGGTGCACACGATGATACCGCGTCATCTGTGGGCGACGAGTCGGCGCGCTTTGATGAGGCCGAGACGCACGAATGATATCCCCTGGATCGGATCATGTAACATAGGTGTATTATGTCTCAATGCATGTAGATGGTCATGACTGAACGGCGTCCAACTCCCCCGAGTCGCATGGTGTCAGACGGCCACGATCTCTTGGCCTGTCAGTCTATCCGTCCCGGATCAACGTCACTCGAGTACACCAACATCACTCGAGCTCCGTCACCCATGACTACTTGGCACACAGAGTTGGCTAAAAAGGATCGCATTGCATACTGCGTTGCATACAGAGAAAGTCACCTTGACTAGAAAACCTTGCACCCCACTCCCGTCTCAAGGCCGGGTTGTGCGTTAGTTCCTGGCCCAAAATTCTGAGTTTGTCATTCCACATCGGAGATCCCCACACTTATACTCACAGAATCTGTGCGAGGTACATGTACAATACATACAATCCTGGCACTGAACTCTCCCAGGTCTCCGGGTTGGAGAGGTAGGCACACCAAGACACGTCGAGGCACTAGGCGGCCCGCGGACAGTGAAGGGAACAACACCTTGGCGCAGCGGCTGCACAGGACCAGGCACGTCCTCTTCACGAGAACTCAAGGTGAAGCTGAGGCTAGCCGAGATGGCAGCATGGCAAGCAATACAGTGTCCATCCCTGCGCGCCACAAGCTCTCCGGCGACGAGTTTCGGACCCTCACAAGACGGACGGGTAACACGCGGGTCTCGAGTGTGGGATAGGCTTCACGTAATACGAGGGCCGGCTAGCTGCGTGCCGCTTGTTACTCCCGCTAGCTACTCGCCCACTGGTTATTTTCGGGTCAGACAAACAGCGCTTGGTGGTGTGCGAGGGAAGGAAAGTGACGTGAGAAAACAATGCAGGCGAGACTGCGCCGGTGTAGAGCAACATGTTGCAACTGAATGCCGAATTTGCAAGGCTAGGTACCTAAGTAAGTCACGTTGGTTGCAGTATCGACGAAACGGAATAGGGCTGAGGTGGCTGAGGCCTGAGGCCCGAGGCTGACAGTCAGCCGAACGAGGCGCCCGCCACAGTCGTTCATTCCGCCCCGAGTCATCATCAGTCGACATGAGCGTTGGCCCACTCGGAGACAGCCGAGCGACATATGCCGGTTGCTATTTTTCGACTCGTCGTCTCCACCAACGCCGTCCCTGGAATACTATTCCTCAGCTGCAGCGGTCGCCCCCATCGTCATGCCGTTCCCGTCGTTGGCTTTCGGGGTTTCCAGTGTGTTGTTTTCGCCGCAATCGGTTGACTCGTCTGGTATGCTGTGGCGTCCCAGCACCTCGGCCACCATTCCAGTCAAGTCAACCATCACGTTTTTTTTTCTCACTCTTCTTCACATCACCACGCTGATTCCGGGGGCCCCTTGTCCAGCACGTTATGGAGCGGACCCTGCCGTCATCTGTCGACGTTTCACCGACCACCATCCAACCGCACTAGACACTTGGGCTACTCCCGAGCCGGCATGGATGACCACCGTCCCCCCCTCCCCCTTCCGGCCCCCTGGGCATCCTGTCAAGATAAGCCTCATTGCGACTTGCCCCAACGCGGCCTGATGTGTGGCGGTCTTCATTCGAGAAGACCCTCGCCTCGGCCAATGGCAGCCGATCTGTCTGCGGCTGCCCACTCTCGTCATCTTGCTCGTACAGACGATCTTGCCGGAAGCCCGCCGTCATCTCGTTCGGGTGGGTTCTGCCGTGCCATGGCGTTACCTTGTGCACCGGAGCCTTGTCGCAGCCTTCCGTTGCTGAGGCCTTCATAAGTGACTGCTGTCCCCTTCGCCGGCCTTCGTGTTGTTTGGCTGTCTAGATCTCCTTGCCTTTCCATATGTTCAGTGTGCCAGCCAAGAGACCAGTTCTCGCATCCTAACAGATAGGATAGTTCGAGGTGGAACTTCACCACACCACACGCCATCATGCAGCTTCACATCATCTGCTCGGCCATGGCCGCCATGCTCTCCTTTGGTATCGCGGTACAAGCATCACCGATTCGCTGCTCGGACGTACGTATCTACCTAGGGCCCCCCCGACGAAGTGCCACATGCTGACCACATGCCAGTTCAACCGCGACCTCATCCTTTCTGGAAAGGCGCAACCCGAGATTTGCTGCTCCTACGGCACCTGCAAGGGCGACGTCGTCATCAGAGGCGGCTGAAAGGGCCACGGTTGACACCAAGCATGAAAAGAAAAATCGAGTTTGCCGCTCGACACGACAGCATTCACATACCATCAACACACGCCACCAGGCGCATATACCTCCCAAACTCAGGCGCCCATTCCCTTTTCTGGACTTCATTCTTCAGGCGTCGACAAAGCCTGGCTGGGCCTTGTGGTGGGTGGGGCACGCATGCAATTTCTCGAAACCCCAAGCCGCTCCACACGCAACGGCCACGACACCGTGCAACCGGAGTCAGTCGGGCACACATGACAGACCTGTCGAACACGGCGACTCCGCCCTCGAACGTGCCGTCTCTTACATGGTCTCCCAGTACGGCACCGAACGAGACTCCATCGCCCATTACGGCGCCGCGCAGGCCGAGGCACCATTTTTCTGTCTCAGGGAGGAAGTGAGAAGCGGGCGGGCTGAGGCAGGCAGGCAACCGCGGATCACACTCGTGCATGTCCATGCCGACTGTTGAACTCTTCCGTAGGACAATACAACACGATGATACTGCAAAGCGCGCCTCATCTCCTTGCCGTGCCGTGCGTGACCTTGTGCTGCCGTCCTCCCGGCCGGTATCCTCCACCAATGGAACTTCCCAGCCCGACGCAGCGGCCGAGTCGCCGTGGAGACAAGACTTTTTCTTCTGGTCAATGCGGGGAAGCTGGCGCGGGTCGTACTTGTGCCTGTTCAGGTACCACGGTCGGCTGCAACGCTGTCACCACCGAGTTGGAGTTATATACTCTAGTCATCACTGACCTGAAGCTAAATCATCCCACAGTCAGCCGCGAGATTTCAGTCCAAGAGGAGACAGGTGGAGAGAGAGAGAGAGAGAGAGAGAGAGAGACGAAATGAGTTCCAATGAAGCAAACCGACATGATTGTGCCTTCGAAACTGATACCATGGTGTGAGACGAAGCGGGCGTGGCCTCCTTTTGAGACCCGTCTTCCCCTGTCGAATCTGTGCTGAGGAGGGCCATGTGCCCAGGGACTCCTCTGCCAACAACGTGGGGGCCAGTATCGTTCCTTGCCCCGTGCCTTCTCTGGCAGAACGGACGATACAGATCTCCCGTGTATGTGCTCGAAGCCGCCAATGCAGGGGTGCCTTGGCCCCACGCACTCTATTTTCGAGGCCTGTACACGGCAGCCCCTCGGGATCTGAGTGGCCTAACGACGTCAGTCAGGAGCGATACCACGACCGTTATACTTTCTCAAGGGAGGGAGAGGAGAGTAGGTTTCTTTTTTGCGTTTTTCTTATCGTTGCGCGTGGTTCCGCTGCTCACCTGGTGCCTGAGGGGTTTTGAAATTCTGGGCTCCACGCCAGTCCCTCACCAGAGATGCCGCACTTCTGAACACCCAAAGTCTCGCCAGGACCACCAGCAATTGCACATGCCCGCGTACCTGCTTCTGCGAACTTGATACCGCAGATCTCAGTCTTTTACAAAGTCGGCAAGTCGTGTTCATGCATTCGGGCCTATAGGGGCGCACCGGAGTGCCCGTAGGACCCGAGGTTCACCACACGGAATCTTCGGTTTCGGTTTCAATGTAACGCAAGGCAGACTCCGCGCGTCCCAGTCACCGGAAGCCATGGAAAGCTCGACAGCAACGCGCAGCAAAAGACTGGCAAGACGAAGAAAAAAGGACCCCGAGAGAGGCGAGTGGGGGATTCCGCCCCGGGTCGAGGTAGAATAATACCTACGGCCTTGGCTCTCGTTTTCGTTACCGCTATCGCTCTCCCCCTTCCCCCCCCCCTTTCTCATGTACACCAACACGTCCCTCCCCCCCCTTTAACGTCGGCCTTGATCGCGCGCGCCCCAAAAAGATATATACATATAGGCCAAATCCATCACCATTCCGCTCACTCCGCCCTTGTCTGGTCATACTTGACGTCTGTTGATGACATGTAAATCGACCTCCGTTGACCATCTCTCTCCCCGCGAACATCCGCCGTCAACCATGGCGTGGTACAGGCGCAACAGCACCAGCGCGCACAGCATCGACGTTGAAGCGCGAAACGGAAAGAGGGGCCCCGGAGACGACGAAGAAGGTTCCCACGACAATCTGAAACGAGTGCTGGGCGGCATTGTTGCCATCCAGGTAGTGGCCGGCCTTGCCGCCCTCATCATCTTCATTCTTCGTCCCTAGCGGAAGGAGTATCAGAGACGTTTCTTGACCGTGAGTACCTTTCTTTTTTTTTCAATTCAAATCTTGCATCAACCAGAAATGTAGCTCTTCATGTCATGGATGGGATTGCTCGAAGCTGACGTTCGAGTTGACCCGAAGACTCCGGCATCGATTCACGCCGTGTTCAGAGTGCCCAGTCGCTATTTGTGCACAGGCTATGCATCGACGCCGGCCGGCCATGGTTGGAGTTCCATCGAAGAGCCCCCGCCGGCTAGTATTCGCTCGTCGACGGAAATGGCTTCCATAACAGGCAGTCGATGCTCTGCGGGCTGCCACGTCGTACGGTTTACGTTGAACATTTCGGGGGGGCTTATCATTCAATGACGGACCGGAACGAAGTTTTTATATCTTGGAGCGGAAGCCGGGACCCGGACCAGCACGACGAGGACCAGAGAGGGTGTCGCTGTCCGCCGACCTTGGGAAAACACATCTCGGACGGCCGCAAGACGTCTTCTTCGCATCCCGGCCTATCGGTGCCGCGAAAGGGGGCATGCTCCGCCAACAACCCAGGCGGTCGGAGTCTCCGGGGCGCCTTCTGTGACCTTGCGCCTCCGCGTCAGACAAGGGTTGACTTCCAGGCAGCCCGTTCAATGCACAGCGCCACTCATCTGTCTTTGGAACTCAAGCAGGGTGTGATTTCCGTCCTGGAGGTAGTTGGAGGCTCGTGTATTCGTAGCAGGCTGTTGAGCTTTGTCCATCAAAGGTCCTCAGGCTTGTGGGACAGGAGCGTGGTTGCTTTTCGTTTCCAGAATTGGGTTACGGGGTTTACGATTAGGAGGAAGGGACGGCGCCTAATGTCAGATTCAGGTCTACTTGTGGTTTTGGTAGAGATTCTCTGGGTTTCCTGTCAAGGGCAGATGGACGAATAAACGCGGACGGTGAGAATATGTTGTAACTTTATCGGGGTTGACTTCCATCAGAAGTAGGCTCGCATCCTGGCTCACCCACCACGAACATATTGATATCACCTTCACACTTTGATTCATGCTGCTTTCTTCACTGATCACGGCGTTGCAGTCATGCCCAATATCACGACTATGCTCCCTAATTTATCGAGAGATTGACTATTCCTGGCCCCCGAAACAAAATGCTAGGCACCGCAATACAAAACGATGGGTGAAGCATCATGATGCAGGAACAAGTGACAATCCACACTATGATCCCCTTTTTATACTGAGCAGCCGTTCGACCCTGTCCCGCAAAGTTTCCCGTAGCCAAAGACCAAACGCCAAGCGGGAAAAAAAAAGTGAGACGCGCCGTCGCCATGCTTCCCAATGAACCCGAAACGGAATGACACCTCAGGCGCCATCATGTACACAAAGGGAAAACTGGACAACGTTGTGTTAGTTGCATGAACGGAGACGCATCTTCCATTCAAACGTATGGGGAGCCAACGGCGTCAGAAGCAATACTCGGACTCGGCGAGTTTGCCCTCCGTTGATCGAACCGGTCGTACGAATGATCTCGACGACGGAATGGTTCGTGGTCATCTGTGTACCAGTGACGTTGTTGAGACGACGGACGCGAAAGGTGCCCGGTGCCCGGTGCCTGGAGGTGCCGGGAGGAGGCACGTGGCGTCCTTTCGGCCCATGTCTCTCGTCTAGCCGGCCACCTCATGCCCTCGCCCTCCAGATCATCTGCGGTGGCAGGAGACCCCGGCGTACTGCATCGGCTCAGTGGGATGTGTTCTTGTCTATCGGCGACCCAATAATCCCAAGGGCCTTGTTGGTGTTGATAGTCGTGAGTGAGATGGTGGGGAGCGTGGTGATGGTGCTGGTGGTAGGGTGTCAGATAGTCGTACTCGTCAGGCAACGACGCAGACTGAGCCAACAAAGACGACTGCTGGTTACTGAGTTCGTCCCATTTTTCCTCCTCCTTAAAATGGTCCAGATCGGCCTCCATGTCTTTTAAATGCAACGTGTCTGGACCCGCCCACTCGTCGATCAGCGCAGCGATGCGCTTGAAACCGGTCGTGTGGCCTCCACAACGCCTGGCCTTGAAACCACAACAGACGAAGAGGTAGCTATGAATGAGCTCGTGTAAAAAAGTAGAGATGAGTAGTCGGCGGTTGTATTTGCGATTTTTGAGAATAGGGTGAGAGAGAACGATTAAGGTTTCAAAGCCGCCGAGAAGCCGGGAGCGGCGGAGTGCAGTGGTGCCTATGATGTGATCTTGATATTGGGAACTCGATGAGTGAGACCAGTCCCAATTCACACGACGGGCAAGTCGGTTGTGGAAGAAAATCTCATTGGCAGCCGAGAATATGCTTTCCAAGGCGGCGTTGTCGATAGAGAATTCGGCATCACGAGACCGTGGCCGGATAAGGCTCCTGAGAATCCGTTCGTGCCGTGAATCCTTGGCCTTGCGGTGAGAGAGCGCAAGACGCTCCTGCACCAGCCAAGCGGCCTCATCGTCCTCAAGCAGGTTGGCATCATCATAAGCAGAAGTCGTGCAGACGGTTGTGTCAGATGAGATAGAGAGACCTGACGCCGTGCGCTCCATGGAACAGGCGGTCTGGCCACCTCGTGCAGGCTCCGGCGTTGGCGATCGTGCCTCACGGATGACCAAGAATGAGAGATTCTGCATGGGGATGAGTTCTCCATGTTGCCGTACACTGCCTGTGACGGGGTCGAAACTGTTCGTCTTTGCACGTTTGGGATGAGGGACGTGGTCGTAGATGTTGTCGGAGCCGTCAGAATGGCTGACCCGACGTTTGCCACCGGTCAGGTAGGTGCCGTGGGCAGGGCCATCACCCAGAGACGGCAGCATGGGGCTGGGCTCCGCGCCGACGACCCAAAACGCCATTGAACATGCTGGGGAAAAGGAGTGATCATGGAAGGAAGTCGAGCGTTGAAGCGCAGACGGCAGTGGTGGTTGGTATAGTGTTCTGGTGCTGGGAGACAGTTGGGGGTGGGCGAGGGTTGAGGCGGACGGGCGTAGTGGCAGGGGACGGCGCATGGCCGCAGGACGGTCCTTGATGTAAGTAGGTCCGCCAACGAGTGTGTGGAGACGGCGTCACCTTAGTGTCCCGCTGCCGGCAGGGTCAGTGAGCTGCAGGCGCATGCAGCATCTGGGGGGGAGGGGGGGGGGGGGTTGATCCAGGACGCTGCCGGGGATGTCCATGCAAGAGGAGAAACAACTGTCAACCACCTGTGGCTTCATCGCCTCACTACTCGTCGGAAAAGTCAGACAAAACGAGAGTTGCAGAGCCGACGGCGCTGGAAACGACGGCTTCATGCCAGTGGGGTTTCTGCCGTTTCCTGATGCCAGGCGCATGGGTCACGCAGCATGTCGGTGGACATTTGCGTGGCATGGGAGTGATGACGGACGGGCCTGGGAGCAGCGAGTGCCATCGTGGTCGAGTTGCCATTGACATTGCGGAAATCTCTCTGGCAGGTTTGACCCCTTGTCAGCCCCTGGTCGGCGGTCCTCATATCCCAACAAGCGGGATGAGTCCGTCGCACAGGCGGTGTAGGACGGCCGAGGAGGCTACTGCGGGAGCGACGCACCGCGGCTGCACAGAGGCGTAGTGGCCATGGCAGGCGACGAAGGGAGGTGAGAGTGTCCTGCTGCAGGGCGCTGTTGTACAGCGCGCGCTGCTTAGGAGTGGCGGTCGATGGCAGTCGCTGGTGGTGACAGCAGCTCAGCAGCCTGTCTCTCCGGCCCAGCCCCAGAACGAGGCGATGTCCCCCTTCGTTGTCTTGGTCGGTTCCAGCAACTGAGTCAAGCATCGGAGAGGGGTCAAGATCGACGGCTTCAACGTTGCATAGACGCGACGGTCAATGACGACAAATTTCCATGCTGGGCAGGTCAGGCTGGTCTGCACTCAATGCCATCTTTTTCTTGCCATTCGTCCACAAGTGCAGTTACAATCCAAGCCAAGCAGCGTGACGTGGTTTCCAAGTGGACTCGTCTGCGTGTCGTGAGCTGGCTTTGCTTTTCACCATGGCCGAAGGATTGTCTGAGGAGTGGGCGCGAAGCCAAGGGCTGGATTTGGGGAAAGCAATCGGGTCCTCTCCCTGCGCTGTGCAGTGGCCCCTCGGTTCGTCCCCTGTAGGCAGACAGAAATGGCACCTGTCTCCACGGAGCGCGCGGAGCGGAGCAGAGGAAGGCAGCTGTCGAGGAGCAAGCGGCAGACGGCCAGGTTTGACAGATCCAGGAGCCAGGGCGATTGGCGACGAGCAACGCACAAGGGTGGCCACGACAGCTGACTGGTTGCCTCACATTCAGTCGACCACTCATCTTTGGCGACAGACCCAGCCATCGAACAAATTCGAGGCTGCATGCTCGACTGGTAAGAATCGGCCTCAAAGACGATCGGAGCACGAGCCGTGACGGTGACAATATTGGCTCTGGTGCCGTGTCCAGTAAGCCGTGCAGCCATCCATCCACCCAAGCATCCTATTCTCATCCATCGTCAATGCGTGCTGAATGCAGAAGAGGTCACGATATTCGGACGTTGCAGTCGAGGCGAGGTCGTGTGGCCATTCCTGATCGGAACTGTCGCGTAGCCGCTGGCTATCAAGCCGCATGCTGCACTGCACTGCACTGCGCTGCGCTGTGCTGCAGTTGACAGCTGCGGCCTTCAATCGCTTCTATGACACTATCGTCGAAACGTTCGCGACGCCCTGTCGTCGTCGTTTTGTGGCGGGGTTTGCCAATGGCAACGTCGATCACGCCCGTTTCGATTTCTATGCATCGATCCCATCCATGCCCCGTGCGACGCCGAGGTGGGATCTTGCCTGCTCACCAGGCCGATCCGATCCAGCGTTAGGCTCCAAAAGTCCCGCGACGGTATACAACGCGGCGAGCATCCTGGCCTGACCGCGCAGTGTCCTCCTGACGTGCTTCTGCTGTCGACAGCCTCTGGCCCCCGAACCAAAAAGGGGATCCGCCCTGCTCGAGGTCTGGAGTACTGGAGTAGCCTCGATGTCTCGGAGGTCGGTGATTCGCAGCCATCGGGCAACGTGAGGGATTTCACTAATCATTATGTAGTGATGCAGCCGTTCGGAGCGGGAGGAGGTTCGCCTCGAAAAAGATTGATGGGGCAACGAAACGGAGATGGGTGATCCAGGGTCCATCAAGCTGCTTGGATTCTTCCATTGTGGAATATCGTGCCATCGTATCATCGTGTCACAGAGCTGTGGATGCATAAATTGGTCCCTGGACGGCTCGGACTTCTTCGACACCTCCAGGGGTCTTGTAGCAGCCTTGTCGGTTCCTACATGCGGACTCGAAATCAGGGAAGTATCGTGGAAGGCAATGTCAGCCGGGTCAGGTCGTCCTACCTTATTACATAGGTACCTGCCTACCTGCCTACCCAGGTAGGTACCTGAGGTAACGTAGGAAGGCAAGGTAGGTGCCTCCGGCGGTAGAGGTGGGAAGGTAGGGATGCAGGGTCCGAGCTTTCTCTTCCTCAGATATGTGGTAGCAGCCACAGACGATCGTGGCCGTGCGGGCGTCTATCAGGTACTCACTGCCAACGTGCCTAGACACTGGGTACCTTTGGTAGGTACCTACCTTAGGTAGTTATGAGGGGCAGTTTAGCCCACTCACCCTAGGTAGGTCAAGCTACTGCATATTGTGACAATAACGACATTGCACTGCACTGCTTCACATCCCAGTGCTCGGCCTAGCTATCCTTGCTTGCTCCAAGCGTAACTTTTCGAGTTGGACTCAGACCCGTCTCCAGGGGCACTCGAAGCATTGCCGAATCGCTGGCCGAGTCCTGTAAGGTGCTCGTGTGCCCTCCCACAGGCCGCGTTACCCCGCCTCGCTGGGTGCTTACTCCCGGCCGTGGGACACCTATCATCAACTTGAGCATGAGAAGGCGCCTGGCTGTTGTTCATTCATTCAGTGATCAGCACACAACGCGCGCACACATATTTGCCAATACCCAGCAAGCCCACGACGATCTCTCTGGGCCATCATGGCGGCATTCATCTCGCATCCCCTGGAAGAGGACGAGTTGTCGTATGTGAGCCCCATTGGTGAGTTCAATATATCCCAGCGCCCCTTTTCACTGTTCCCATCTATGCCAACGAGCACTGCCAACGAGATTGACCAGGCTATACCAATTCATCCAGTTGTGGCTACTGTGGAAGTGGAAATAAAGGAGGGATGGGGAAGACAAAACGTAGGTTCCCACTGGTACGCTCATCGGGCCTCTCGTTTCATCCGCATGACACGAAGCCTCACAGCCTCACACTGAGGTGTGATCAGCAAAATTGACACGCCCGTTGCCCAGGCTATTCGTACTACGCATCTGCGACATCCTTGACCCCGGAGCTCTATCAGGACTTGTTGGACCGATACTGGCGTCGCTCCGGCCGCCTCCTTTATCGACCCAACCAGCGACAGTCCTGCTGCCCGCACTATACCATCCGCCAGGACACTGCCGCCTTCAAACCGTCCAGGGACCAAAGGCAGGCCGTGAACAGATTCAACCGGTATGTCATTGGCAAAGAGTATGCGGCCGCTGCTGCCCGTCTCTATCCGCGGTCACGCGAGGACACCAAGAAGCGAGATGCAGAGTTTCGTCTCGTCGAGCGGATCCACGAGGCCGAAGCAAAGAACCTGAAGAACCCCCCTGACCCTGCACACTACTTCAGCGTCACGCTTGAAGACGACTCGTTTACCGAAGAGAAGTACGCCGTGTATGAGAACTACCAGCGCGTCGTCCACAAGGAAGGACCAGGCGACATCTCGAGGGGCGGTTTCCGGCGTTTCTTGTGCGACTCTCCCGTTCGAAGAAAGACAGTCATCAACGACCAAGGTAATGAGATGCAACTCGGCTCCTTCCACCACTGCTATCGGCTGGACGGCAAGCTTGTCGCCATTGGCGTGCTGGACCTTTTGCCGCACTGCGTCAGCGCAGTCTACTTTCTCTATCACGAGTCCATCCACACATTCATGCCGGGCAAGCTTGGCGCCCTGCAAGAAATCGCCTTGGCCGCGGAGGGCGGCTACCGGTATTGGTACCCGGGGTTCTACATCCACAGCTGCCCAAAGATGCGGTACAAGATTGACTACCTTCCGCAGTACATCCTCGACCCGGAAAGCCTGACCTGGGACCTGCTTGACAAGCCCATATTGGATCTTCTCGACAAGAAGCCTTTTGTCAGCTATTCAGTCGAGAAGCGCGCCATGGGCGAGTCCAACGGCGACAAGGAGATGAACGGCACGACACGTGAGGGCAACGACAGCGACGGCGCCCAGCCAGAGGTCGAAAGTGATAGCGAGGAGCCCTCATGCATATTTGAAAGCGACATGCCTGGCGTCGCTTCTCTGAACCAAATGCAGGCAATAGACTTGGATCATCTGTCATTGCGTATCGACAAGTCTGGCATGGAGTATGAGACATCTGACCTGGTCATCTGGGCCAGCCAGTCTCTCTCTGCTGCTGGAGGGTTGAAGACGAAGATTGCCGAGTTTGTGGCAGCAATCGGACCAGATCTCATGCACTCGGTCTGTCTCGATCTCAGCTAGGGCCTTGGAGGCAAGAACCTGGGCATTGAAACTGTGTCGATGTCAGGAGACTACAGTGGTGGCTACCACGATAAGTGAGCCTTGTGGATGAGATGTAGAAAATGATGTGACATTGGATATGTATGTATCCTTTGACAGCAAACTAAGTGACGGAAACGATTCTTCTTATGTACTTGTGTCCGCTACGCTTTCAGTGAGTAAGTGCCATGCTACTCCCTCTTCAGGGGCTCGGAGCACATCTCAGGGGTTGGGCGTGAGCCACACAGCAAGCAGCCACACTCGATCTGGCTCCACACCCCGCGAACCCCACCATGAAAGGAATCCCTGCACGTCAAGCTTTCGCAGCACTCAGGTCGACCTCAACTTTTTGCGACAAAAGCTCTATCCAGCGCCTGCACTCACCAGGCCCATCACAGCCCCCGCCAACCGATCTCAAAACACGACACACTCTCTTTGCGCCCCTCCACACCCAGAGAGAAAGCGACAGGCACACGCCCTGCGCCAGAGCCATCCACCATGGCCACAGCAGCGCAGCAAGTCCTGCTCTCTCCCGCCGAGCTCGCCTACCTCCACTCCTCCCTCTCGCTCACGCCTCCCATCCGACCCGATGGCCGCACACCGACCCAATTCCGCCCACTGACCGCCGAGACGGGCATTCTGCCGGGCACAAACGGCAGCGCGCGCGTGTGCTTCTCCGACGGCACGGAGGCTATCGTCGGCATCAAGGCGGAGCTCGAAAAGACGGCGACGCCGTACGGCGGCTCGGCGGACGAGGACACCTCGAGGATACGGCAAGGCGACAATATCGACGACGGCGGCGCAGCCTCCAAGGGCCGCAGCGAGTGGCTCGAGATGACGGTGGAGATCCCAGGCCTGCGGGACGACGAGGCGAGCACCGTCTTCCTGGCGAGCATGCTCAGCGAGGCGCTCCTCGCCGACGGCGAGTTCGCCAAGAAGCTCTACATTAACCGCCGCTTCCACTGGAAGCTCTACCTCGACGTATGTCTCTCCTCGTATTCTCGGGAACTGCCCCCTCTCCTCTTCCTCCTTTGGCCTAGACGTGTTGGGGCGTACAACTGACATGGCACCAGATCCTCCTCATCTCGCCGCCCCTCTCGTACCCGCTCCCCCTCCTCTCCCTGACCACGCACCTCGCCCTCCTCGCCACCCGCGTCCCGCGCCTCAAGTCCGAGGGCGACGAGGACCCCATGTTCGACGACGACTGGCAGGCCTCGACATTCCTGTACCCGCGCAACGCCAAGGGTGGCGCCCGCCCGCCTGTGACGCTCCTCGTCGTCGCCGTCGGCGGCAACATCATCTTCGATCCGGCCAAGGAGGAGCTCGCCGTCGCCGAGTCAGCCCTTGCCGTGTCCGTGGCCGACGCAGGCACCGCGAGCAGCGCCGCCGCCGCTGCCGAGGGCAGGCAACTGCGCCTGCTGTCTGTGCGGACGGTCGATCCGCCGTCGCGGCTCACGTCGTCGGGTGTGCCCAACTCGGAGAACCCGGCCACGAGCGTGTCGACGCCAGGGAAGAAGGCGGCTGTGCCGCTGCCGGGCGTGGTGGGCTACGGCGTGCAGCAAGGCGTGTGGAGGCCGCCGGTTGGGGGCACCAAGTTTGCCGTGCTGGAGGCCATGATTGGCAAGGTCCTGGAGAAAGGCGGTGTCGCGGATGAGGTGTTGGATGGACTCGAGGGCGTAGACCTGGTATAGACGATGGGATGCGTCTGGGCTGATTTCACTCCATGAGTTCTATGGGCGGGGCAGACAGGGCAAACAAAAACAGGGGGTGATAAACGTCTGAGCATTTGGGTCATGTTGAAGCTTTATTGTACAGGTACAGGGTATACTACAGATCCGCCACGCGCCACGGCGCTGGGGCTTCCTTTACATGACGACGTTTGTACATTTCGGTGACGCGATTTTCTCTCCTAGTTCCATTTATTTGGTGCCCTGCTTTTCCGCAGCGGCAATGGCCTCGGCCGCGAGGGCCTCGGCGCCGCGGGAGGGCGCCGCACTCTCGTCCTCGTCCTCGTTGCTCGACTTGAACCAGTTGGCGACTGGGTTGCTCTTGTCAAGACCGTGCACCTTTCTGTAGTAGGCTCGCTTAGCAACGTCGTCGGTATGGGCGGTGTGCTGGGCAATGACCTTCTCGTTGCGGTCGACCTCGTGCAGCTGCAGCACGCGGATCCAGGTGCCGATGAAATCGATGGGGCTGCTCCAGAACTCGGACGGCCTGGGGAGGAGGTGCTTGTAGGGTGACGTGTGGCTGAAATTGAGGATGAAGGTGGAGAGAGCAAGGATCGATAGTGTGCCCTTGGAGATGTCAGTACCTGGACACATTGGGTGACGGAGACACAAATGTTGAACATACGAGAGAGATGAAGAGGTGGAGGTTGCGGTTGTGGATGAACTTGTGTGTTCTTGATCCCTCGGGCGGCAGCATGCCAGGGTACTCTCTCCTCTTCTGAACGGCCTTTTCGGTCTCGCTCATGGCGCCTCCATAGTGTTTCGGGCCCTGGTTCCTGGGGAGTCGAGATCCGTGGGAAGGGGGGTTGAATTTTGTCGGTTTCTCGAGCACAATGGGCTTGCTGGGCGTCTTAGTCGAAGCATGGCGACGGCAGACAGCTGCCGTATTCCTCGAGACGTTGGCGTTCAGAACACCACGCCATGCTGGCATGAGGAAGCGTGGAGGGAGACTGGCGGCGATGGAAGGCGTCATGACCCCCGACTTTGGTGTTCGGAGGGGAGGGGGGGTGAGCTTGTGGTGGTGGTGGTGGTGGTGGGCGTGGATATCGCGAGAAGCTATCCCGATCGACAGATCGCGCATGTGCCCCAGAAAAAAAGTTCACCTCAGGCCTACATGTACACATCGGCCAAGCTCTGGGTTCAAAGCCCGAATTGCAGGCTCGACAGCGGAACCCCCGGGGGCGTATTCGGTGGGCCCCAGCACTGGAAAGGCGCTAAAATGTCGGCCTTTGCACTGTTGTTACGGAACAATTGTCCTCCAGGCTGTTGTTCCCGGGTTTGCCCGGTACAGAAGTACCGCCCCCCTGCGTCGGTGTGCGCCCTCTGACCATTTGCCGGCCGGTGATTGGCGCGGACCTGAATGATGACTGGGTCATTGGACCCGTTGGAGGCGCCACAGCGTGGCTGGTGCGGTGTCTGTAGTGAGCTCATTGCCAGGATTTGCGCGCGCGTGCCATTAAAGTCGATCGGCTCCCAGCCGGTTTCTCTCTCCCAAAAGTTTTCCTCCTCCCCTTCCACCCTTCGACGACCATTTCCAACCTCGACACGTTACCCATACGACCTTTGCAAGAGATTCGATTCTTTTGCAACCCTACATAATACCTTCTTCATCTCCTTAACACCTTAATACCCCCCCAAACCGTCAAAATGGCTGGTGGTAAGTCCCTACACCCATTGTTGCTCTTTCCCAGTGGCAGGCTTCGCGAATGGTACGACTTGTCTGCGAATGCCATTGGGTATCGGTGCCGGTATCTTCGACTTGGATACACCGTTGAGACGTTGTCTGAATTGCGAATTCTGAGTTTGGGGTGATTTTGGAGCCTCGGCGACCTCTGGCGCACCTGTCATGTCAGCTTCTCCTGCGTCATTTCCCATGGCCTCGGCAACGCTGCGGACGAGAGGACAAGGACTCCAGCTCATACCTACTGAGTTTGACTCGTTTCTCACCTCGACCTCAACGCTATCCACTTCGAACGAAAGCCCGATGTTCTATGTCTCCCCTCTCAGACCATTTGGAAACCATGTCGCTGCCAACACTGCATCACCACCACAAACCAGTCGCAAAGCTAACTTTTGCCCCAGGTGACGCCAAGAAGGGTGCTTCCCTCTTCAAGACCCGTTGCGCTCAGTGCCACACCGTCGAGGCTGGCGGCGGCAACAAGATCGGCCCTGCGCTGCACGGCCTCTTCGGCCGCAAGACCGGTTCCGTCGACGGCTACTCCTACACCGATGCCAACAAGCAGAAGGGCATTGAGTGGAACAACGACACTCTGGTATGTTGATCTTGATCGTGACTCGAAAGCGAGCCTGCTCTAACCTCCTTCCAGTTCGAGTACCTCGAGAACCCCAAGAAGTACATCCCCGGCACCAAGATGGCCTTCGGTGGTCTCAAGAAGGCCAAGGACAGGAACGACCTGATCGCCTACCTCAAGGACGCTACCGCCTAAGCGGATCGCCCTCTCTTCTCACTCACCCACAATCCGCCACATACCCTCTCCACACTCCACCCACCATCCACCACCACAGGTCGTGTTGTTGTACCACTAGGATACGAAAGAACGACGGGGAAGAAGAGCTCGGAAGCTGCATTAGACGGGATTCGGCGAGACTTCCTTTTCCTTCAGACATAATGCGACATGTACCATAGAACTCAAATGATGCCCTCCAGGACAGTGCGTCCGGGGCAGCGGGCACGCTCGATGGCCCGCCTTTTATTCCATCTCCTCTTCTGCGCTCATCCCGTGCTTGGAAGTGATCAAGACTTGAAGTGGCATTGTACCAGTAAAATGCGCATTCCACACTGGTTGAGGCCAGTCGTATTCTGTGGTACGCATTTCTCTTCGCGGATCGAGATCCATGGTACAAGGGCGTGACCGGAACATTCTCCGAAAGGCTTGGGCAGATGACGTGCCAAGACTTGGGTTCTCGGTCATCATTATGTACCTCTGCATCCACGATCATTTCTGACGTTGCCCGTTCAGTCTTGGTGATGTACTTCAAAGGGCGTTTTTAGAATTCGGTCCCATCCCAGAAGATCAGCCACAGAATCGTAAGGCCTTGCTGGCAAGACATGCCCATGCGCCCATGTGCAACAAACTAAACTAAGCAGCCCAAACCTCCAAGACAAGGATCGACAGCGCCCTGGAACTGCATGACCATCTATCTCCACAAAAACAAGCTCATCTCACGTGAAACAGCATCTTTCCATCATGCCTTTGGTGAAGTGATTTGCTTTATTCTTCGAACGGTTCCGATTATGCCCTCTACCTCTGGTGATGCAACTTGGCCGCCAACTTGCGATAGCTCTCGGGATTCGGCACGCTCGGCTTCGTCTGCTCGAGCGCAGCCTCCCAGTCGGCCCGGGACAGGGAGGGGTCGCCGCCCTCGTACCGCAGAACGCACGCGTCCAGCGCGTTCTTGTACAGCCCGTAGAGATCGGCGCCGCTGAAGCCCTTGCACCGCGGGTCCCGCGCTACCGTCTCGATCACGTCAGGGCCGCCGCCCGCCGTGGCCTCCTGCTCGGTGCCCTCCATCACGGCATCGGCCGCCTTGTCGCTGCCGCCGATGCCGTTCCTGTAGATGGTCCGCAGGATATCGACGCGTTCGTCCTCCGTCGGCATGTCGACGAACAGGAGCTTGTCGAGACGACCAGGGCGCAGCACGGCCGGGTCGATCATGTCAGGCCGGTTGCTCGTGCCGATGACGTAGACCTCGCCGCGGTCGCCGGCACCGTCGAGCTCCGCCAGCAGCGCGTTGACGACGCGGGCGCCGGCCTCGGTCGACGTGTTCTCGCGCTTGGGCACGAGCGAGTCCATCTCGTCGAAGAAGAGGATGCAAGGCGCGCAGCTCTTGGCGCGCGCGAAGAGCTCCCGCACGGCGCGCTCCGACTCGCCGACGTACTTGTTGAGCAGCTCGGGACCCTTGATGAGGATGAAGCTCGCCTGCGCGTCGTTGGCCACGGCCTTGGCCACCAGCGTCTTGCCGCAGCCGGGGGGGCCGAAGAGGAGGACGCCTGCGGGGCGCTGCTTGCCGAAGCGCGCGAAGAGGAGGGGCTCCTTGATGCGGCGGACGATGGACACTTGGAAAGCGGCGCGGACCGAGTGCATGGCGCCGACCTCGGACCAGGTCGTTGAAGGGATGGTGCTGAAGCCCTCGCGGCGCATGTGCGGAGTGTGTTCTGAGACGGCGTGTGCGAAGTCTTCGTACGTGAGGTGGACTTGAGGGGCGGGCGTGAGACTTTCGGCGGCGAGGTACTCGTAGCGGAACCTTACGCCTGCCGTATCTCGCTTGTCGATAGGTTCCTCTGTCGGTTCCGGCCGGGGGATTGAAGTCAGAGTTTGGCGGGCGTGAGCGTCTTCGAGGTCGATGAGACGGTCGTGCGCTCGTTCGATCGCAGCTTGGATGACTGCTTGGATGTCCCGACCGACAAAGCCGTGCGTCCGGATCGCCAGAGTTTTGTAGTCAAAGCTCTCCGGAAGGCCAAGGTGGCAAGACAGTACCCGGAAGATGGCCTCGCGCGCATCGGCGTTCGGGACTTTGATGTTGAGAGTGCGCGCGAAGAGGTCGGGCGTACACAGACTGGCGTCGATGGTTTCAATTTTGGTGGTAGTAGCCACAACGAAGACGGGTTCATTCTCCCGCTGCCAGTCCCGTAGGCGTCTCATGCCTATCCTGAGTTGGGTCACAATTTCTTGCTCTCGGTCACTCTGTGTGTTGCCCGACTTGGGCATGTAGTCGTGCAAGCCTTCGATTAAGATGATGCATGGAGCACATTTTGTGGCTTCGTCGAAGACGTCCGTTATGATCTTGGTCACCTTTTCTGGTGACTTTGTGGCCTCCTCTAGATGCTTTCCTAGGGGTATGATGGGCGTAGAGCTGATAGCGGCGAGCATACGCACGGCAGACTGTTTGCCGGTACCGGGCGGCCCAGAAATGATGTAGCCAACGGGCATTCCTTGGAGGCGTTGACGACCTTCCGGTCGCCTGAGACGTGAGAAAATGGTCCTGTCGAGTTCGTCCACGGTCGATGCCACGCCTCCGAGAACAATAGACTCCGGATCGACTTGTTCCGCGGCGTACTTGGGCGGCTTCGGCGCCTTCTTTGTCCCTGAAGCTTGAGCCTCGGCCTGTGCCGTTCCATTGGTCTTGGATGGTTTTCCGGGGGTAATAGCAGAGCCGTCGCTGACGGCCTCAGTCCCGTTAACGGCGTCTGGCTCTGGAGACAGGCGTCGCCGCTTGGTGCTCTTCCCCTCAGAGCCTTGGGCCGTGGCGTTCCACTGTTTGGCCATCTGTCGGTTGAGCAAGAAGCGATCTTCGGGCTGCGGATTGTCAGAGGCCTCTTCTGGTGGTATCATATCGACAGCTCACTCACTTTGTTTGACTCGTTGATCTCATCCAACGCCGCCTCACTGTCTTCAGAATCGGACTGTTCCTGCTTCAGGAAGTCCAAGCAGCGATCGATGGCGTCCTCCAAGGGCTTCCTCTTCTGCCGAGCAAGCCTCGAGTTGGACTTCTTGATGATGTCGTAGACACCCGAAATGGTGAGCTTTGCGCGTTTCCTGTCCTTGGGCTGGTTGGCTGTGCGTTCATCCTCGAGCTTCTTCACGATCTGATAGACGTCGCGGTCGAGGCTGTTGCGAAGATTCGCTTTTGGGCGTCCGTTTTTGAGCATGATGAGTTGTTTCTCGAGGCCGGGCCCACCATGCGCTGGTCTGATAAAGCTTGTGTTTAACTGAGTGAGGCGTTGTTGAATTGTGCTCTCTCATGAACATCGTCGTCAAAAAATTTAATGGGGCCTGCTGGACGTGGCTGTGATTGGTAGAGGGGTCTTCAACATGTTATCGATAAGAGCAGAGTTGAGACTCGGTGCAACATGCACGCGAAAGGTATCATGGACCTCTCTGACCAGTGAAGCAGCCCGACATTGCTCCAGTCGCGTCACCTTCCAGCATCGGAAATGGCATGTTATCGTGGTTGTCCCATGTCCATGTCATCAGTCCGCGGACGATACATATGAAGCGAGACAAGAGACAATGAAGAAACCAGATGTGCTGACATAAGAATCACGACTGTTCATCACCACCGATAAGACACGCGACCTCGGCTTATCTGCCTATTACATCCCACATCGGGGGCCCCGTAATAATGACGAAAGGCCAGCCACAGCCCGCCAAGCAGACGCCGTTGACCGGCCCCCCGTCGCATGTCACTCAGCACAGTACCACAGAGCGCACGCCTCAAGCCGTCACCTCGAGCCTCTTCTCCGAAACGAAGCACCTGCATCAACGCGACAAGTTCGCGTTCCCTATACCTTCGCAGCGCGGCGTTCTCTCCTCTCCCACAAGTCGCGCGGTCTGTCCACCGCAATCACATATCAAAATGGGCGCAAACGGCAGCAAAGTCACGGCGCAAGACAAGTACTTTCTCCCCTCCTGAACACCCCCCCCCCTCCTCCCCGCTCTCACACTCCCTCTTTTCTTCTGCTTCTTCCCCTCCCCGTCAGCCAAAAGCCAGACAGCATGTTCCCTGCAACGCAGACTGACCGAGGGCCCTCGTTGGCCTCCTCTTCTCCAGGGCCATCCTCGACATGAAGCTCCAGCGTGACAAGCTCCACCAATACCAGAAGCGCATCACCCTCCTGACCGACAAGGAGACGGCCATCGCGAAGCAGATGCTCGCCAAGGGCGACAAGGACAAGGCCCTCCTCGCCCTGCGCCGTAAGAAGTACCAAGAATCCCTCCTCGCCAAGACGGACGCCCAGCTCGCCCAGCTGCAGCACCTGACGTCCAACGTCGAGTTTGCGCTCATACAGAAGGACGTCATGTTCGGCCTGCAGCAGGGCTCGCGCGTGCTCAAGGACATCCAGGCTGAGATGGGCGGCGTCGAGGGCGTCGAGCGCATGATGGGCGAGAACGCCGAGGCCCTCGCGTACCAGAAGGAGATTGCCGAGCTGCTCAATGGGCGCATCTCCAACTCGGAGGAGGAGGAGGTCGAGGACGAGCTCGCCGAGATGGAGGCCAGGCTGCACGCCGGGAAAGAGGTGGCGCAGGGTGTGCCGCCGCAGAGGCACGATCTGCCCGTTGCGCCGGATACGGAGCTCACGAGACCGACGACGGAAGAGGAGGACGAGGAACAGCCGCAGAGGGTGAGGCAGGCGGAGAGGAGACAGATGGTGCCGGCATGACCTGGCCGGAACGACGTCCACGACACAACGCAGCGATGGGATGGTTTGCGGACCATCGTTATTTTTTTTTTGTTGCTTCTTTCTTTGGCGCATATGCTTGTTTACGATGACCGGCTTTGGGTTTGGGTATATTGGGAGTTGGCACGGAGTTGGTGCGCATTGGCGGTAGGCAGCATTCTCATAGGGATACTCTAGAAGATCGACTTTGGGCGGCGCCCCCTCCCCCCCCCCTTCTTTGCGAATCCCCATCATACTCTAGACACACAAAGTTTACATGGCATTCAATGGTTCGAAACAAAATCTTCTCAAGATTGATTCAGCGGCAAAATGCCGCTAGGTGGCTAGCCGCCCTTTATGCTTCTATCGTCATCATGCTCCTTCGACCGATGAGTACAGGCTTACCCAGACAGACAATCCTCTCCGTACGGGTATCATTCCACGAGTCCATGTACGCCTTCATTGACCAACCACTCTGGGCAGAAAAGCAAGCAAATCCGCTCCTCCATGCAAATGCTGAAGTGTTCCTCTCACGACATAACCAAAAGGCCCATCCTTTCCAAATCATGAACTCCGTACCCCGATGAAAACATCAATGCCGTCTTGACCTCTGTGATTTCAACGACATTCGTCATGCAAATCCATACACACACAAAAGTCACCGCCAATCCGGGCTGCCGCGATTCAACTGTCGATGAGTATGATCTGATGATCAGGGGGTAGTGGCGTCCGAGGAGTGTATTGACGATCATTGATGACATATCCATTGGAACTACTCTCCGCTGACATGGGCTGCGCTGCGTAGCCGCGGTAGGGCGCGTGCTGAGCGTGGGCTAGCCGGCTGGGGTAGTCAAATGACCTATGAGAACAGTCAGCCGACTTTCAAACGCAGCGTGCATGGGGGTTCACTGACGTCTGGTCGAGTTGTCGTCCAGACGAGGGCCCTGCATCACGATCATCATAAGGATGATAGCCTTGTCGATAGGGGCTATCAAAACCGGGCCCGGCACGTCGAACATAAACAGGCTGTTCTGGTGTTGCCTCTGGCATGTTGTAAACGCCATCCAATCCAGATCGCTGTCCGTTTGCCCGTGAATAGGTGCCGTGGGCTGTTGCTGGGTCACGCCGGATCTGAGGCGACTCCCTGAGTCGTACGAATCCTTCATCGCGTAGGGTGGCATGCGACAGGGCAGGCGGCACACCTTCCCTCAGCCGCAAAAATCCCTCCGGCATGGACGAGCCGTGGGCTTGTGGCGCCAAGGTAGGTGCCTGTGGTAAGTGTGCCTGCCTGCTCCGTTGGAAGTCACTAATCCTGTGATCAGGGCTATGCACGTCGCTCATGATTCGGTCCCTGTCTAACACAATGACCTCGCGTTGTAGTGGCGAAGGTTGAGTGTGTCCATATTCCGGCACACGTTCATACAGGGGCCTTTGTTGGGCTGGCGCCCGATACAAGTGGGCATCGCTACTACCGTGTGGCTTGGCATCTGGTCTGAACGGAGACTCTAGCATGGAAGAATAGCCAGGATCACGCAGGATAGGCTGTCGATTCCTTGGCTCATACCATTCACGGGGTGCGTGGCCGTCGTCATTGTAAGCAAGGTGCCGCTCCAGAGGAACTAGGGGACGGCCTTCTCGACCCGCTGCTACTCTCTGTAGGGAATCGGGTCCGCGGTATGTTGGGGTCATGGGCCGTTCCTCGCGCTGACCAAAGGAGGGACGCTGAGGGGACGGCTGTTCAATGGACGGATGTAGCATGTCCTGCAGAGGTACGTTGTAGCCGTCTGAGGGCCGGCTCCTAGAGCGTGCTACATTATGAACACCCACCTGGCGCCAAGGTTCGCTTGCCGCTTCGAATGTAGGTCTTTCGGATGCTGTAAAGTGGGGTTCAGGTAATGGAGGGGGAGGTCGAAAATATGAACCGGGCCGTGGCTCGCCAATGATGCCGCTCTGAGTATACCCCAATGTATACCCCGTTTGAGACGGCCCACGAATAGCAGAGAGATGGGGAGAGGGATGGGATGGAGGTACTGGATAATCAGAAAACCCGTGAGGATAGGATCCGTGACTAGCAGATCCACCAGCCTCGGGTGCCTCTTGAGGATTCGGGTTCGCCCGTTGACGGTCGAGTGCCTGGTTCCAAGCCACCTCGTACCGCTTGAGACTCTTCTGGGCTTTGCGCTGCTCGTGCAACTGAGCCTTCCTTGACTTCGCCGACTTCACTGGAATGCCCTGCTTCTTCCGCGCCTTCCGCTGAGGTTTAGCGGATGCCGCACGACCGTTGAGAGGAGTGTTGCGTGCTGCATCAAGAGCTGTGATGGGGTTAGGCACAAGGGCATTGCTGCCTTGAAACTCGACGCTGCTCGAGGAGTCGGAATCAGGATCGTCGATGGCATCTTCCGGGGCATCGTCGCCTTCGTCGTCTGTCACGACCACAATCTCTCTCATGATTTCGTCGAGCTGGTCTCGCCCAGACTCGTCATCGCCTCGCCACTTGACGAGGATATCGAGGCAAAGCGCCTCCGTGGCTCTTCGAGCGTTGGACCATGTGGTTTCCCTAAGAAGTTCGTCATACCGCGTATGGGCGTGCCTAATGTGAGCCAGCACAGCTAACTGCACACGGCGAGAGAGAGTCAAATCTTGCTGCATCCCAACGACAAGCTCGCCGTTGAACATGGAATTCTGTCATGTGATTAGCCTCCTTGGTTGTTGTGCCATCTTGGGTGTTTGATACCTTTCGAAAAGCGCGAGCGACAATCTCCTCCTTGTCGAGTCCAGGCATCTTGGGAAATAGGTCATCAATAGCAGCCCTAGCTTGATTGTTAATGTCCACCTGAGAAGACGGGATCAGCTCGCAGCCATTGGGCGCGAGTTGCTGAGGTTTGTTGAAATAATCGATGCCTAATGTACGGGCGGCCTCTTGTACGATCTGTTGACGAAAGTGGTAGCCGATCCGGTTCGTCTGGTGTACAAGGTCGGAGATATTGTCATTTCTGGTCTCCTTATGAACGTGTTGGGTTAGTGGGTGCGTATCAAACAACTGTGTGAGGTGGTTGAGGCTGCCGTACGGATACGATGTAGACCATGGCCCCTCGCTCGCGCGAGAGTTCCTTGCACGCCACAGCCAGCTCAGGGTTGCCGACGGGCACAAAGGCGAAAAGCGGAGGGGGTTCGCGTTTTGACGTTTTCTGTGGCAGGGTCAGGGGACTGGACATGAGGCTTCATCGTCGGCGTAGGCTGGTACCTCGAACTCGAGCGGTTTGCTCTTGAAATCCTTGTTCTGCACCAACTCGAAGAAACTCTTGTACTTGGTACTTGTGTCCCTGGCAGCTTTCAAGCCAGATGGCAGGGGTGCCTTGCGGTCAATCTCCTTGCGTTTTCGGGCCTTGTCCTTCGCCGTGACGACGGCCGGACCAGCCCTCTTTTCTCTCCCCATGGTTTGGTCCTAGTCGTACCAGTGACTGATCATGGCAATGACGAACAAGAGTACAGGAAGCCGCGAGGACCAGGGAATGTCAGGGTTAGTTGCACGCGCAATGAGACAGAACGACAGGCCTGAAACCAAGAAGCGAAAGAAGCGGACGAGCAACGATGGCCAGTGTCAACGAAAACAGCCGCTCCAACGCCTTGAGAGCTCAGGTGGCCTCTGTATCAATGTCCTGGACACGTATTGCGAAGCTGATAAGCCTGCCTTCATTCAGGTGCTGATCCCTCGGGTGAGAGAGGACGTGAACTGCGAACGCGAACGCGAAGAAGTGAAACAAACTCCCTGAGCTGACGAAATTTGCGCTCCGATGAAATAGAGAAAGCGAACGCCCCAGCGTGCGTCTTGTAGCGACTCAGAGCTTGGTACACACGTTGAGACTCGCAAAGTGCAGTTGCAGGATGTGAGAATGATGTTGGGCGTAAAGGGTAGTCGCCCGACTGATAGTTGACGCCGAGTCTCTTCAAGTCATGTGGGGCTTTCGACCATTGGCGGCCACCGTGAAGGCCTGGGCAGAGAGGTGCAGAACGACCCGCCCGGCTCCACAAGCAGGTGTTCAAGGCGCCAATCGCTCCCGGGGCTACTATAGTCCGAAAACATTCCTAGATTTGGTTGATGCTGCATCGGGAGCATGCTGGTTGGTGGGTTTGTCTGCCGCGAGACCCATTCACCCCGAAGTCCAAAGTACCCAAGTACGTTGGGTTGTTAACCCGAGGGTTGACCTGAAGCATCCCCCTTCTCTGTGCCCCAGCACCGACGCAGCACATCGAGGGGTTGGCGGCATGGCAGGTATCTCATCGTGAGGCATTATCAGCCACCGCACTGGCTCACGGTCTAACTCATGCCCAATTTGGTCTGAGGTTCCAGAAGCTTGGAGCTGCCTAGGCCTTGAAACACGAGCTTCAACAGACTGTAGCCTCCCAACAGCCTTGACAGGAGCCACAGTCTGACCACTGCGTTTCGATCTGCCAGAAAAAAAGGCCCCTGCGGCACATCAGCCGAAGCTCACTAGTGCGAGAAAAGTGTTTCCTCGATTGCTTTTAATAGCTTGACGAACGATATCTTTGGGTCTTTCCTATCTGGTCTGTTCCACCCGCCCTGATATCCCATGTTCCTAGTCTGTGTCCATGTCCGTGTCCCCGTTGTCCGGCATGCACGTGGCATACTCGCCTCCGTAGAGGGAAAAGAGAAAAAAAAAGATCAGTTCCGTAACGCCGCCCCTTGTCCTGCCATGCAAGCTTTCAGTTATGCCCATACAAATTTGTTTCCAGTGGTTCTGGTGTTCATCAGTGGGGTGACGCAGCAACTTCCTTGTTCGGGAAAGAGCTTGCCCCCTTAATCGTCATCCAGCGAGTTGACGTGCTTCTTCGTAAACTCAAAGGCAGAGAAGAAGATTGCGTTGACGACGCAGGAGCGTCCCATGGACACGCCGAGGCCGCGATACATGTGCTTCCGAAAGAACGTGATCTTCGGAGGCGGCTCGACCTGCTGCCCTCGCGAGTATAAAAGTGAGTTACGCTGATAGATGCTCTTGGCAGAGTCAATGGGGTCTGGGGTTAAGGTCAGCTGGGAGGCTCCATGTCCCTAAGGTCAAGAAAAAACGTACAGATCATGGCCCATGATACGATGCCGCATAATCCACCTGATGCAACGACCGCCAATTTGTTCGTCGTGGGGCTATCACCGCCGTAAGTTGTGCCGAGCTGTTTGCCGCTCTCATACACCATGAAGTAAATAGCGGTGCCGAGTGTGTCCCGTACTGCACAGCTGGTTTTAGCTTTCATGTTTGCTGCCTCAAGCCGAGAAGACGAAAGCGGGGTGGGGCTTCTTACGCAGGTGCAGGTTAAAACCAGTATAGAGTCCAAAAATGCCCCGATGGCGAATAATGTTACGCATCGTCTTAAACGTCCCCTTGTTCTGGTAGCTCGCGGCAACGGCGTGGCCGTTGCTCACGCGGCAGTTCGCCTCTGCGAGTTTCTTCTGATCCGAGAGCAACACGGAAACTTGGGCGCTCAGCTTGGTGAGCTCAAACGGACAAGCGACAACTGTAATACAGGAGCCGGCCGTGGCGCCAGCCGCGCCGAAGCAGGCGACTGAGTAAAAGTTGGGATATGTGCCTTTCCTGTTGACGTGGTCGAGGACGTCGACACCCATGTTCTTCTTGATCCAGCCCGAGTATCCGTATTTGGCGCGCTGGTATATAGAAAAGGAGACGGTTCGGACAAGGGTTACGCTGGCGGTCGGGGCCAGTACACCTGGGGGCGTGTTAGTTAGTTACTCTGGCGTGTCCTGTGGCGAGCGTCACGGAAGAGGGGAAAGAGGCACATACCTCTGAAGAAGCCCCGTAGCTGTTCGGTCTGGTACGTGTGGCGGACGCAGTCGAGGAAGCCATCATATCGGTAGGTTTGCATACGCGTCTTCACGCTGTCGAGAGGAAAGGCGACGACGGTGGAGAATACACTAGACGTGCTGGCGGCAATTTCTGTACGGTATCGCTTGACCAGCCTCTGAGGCTTTTCGTGTTGAGGCATGATCGAAGGTGTGACGGTGGTCGGCACATGGTGTCTCTCTAAGAATTGGGCGGGCATGCTTCTGCGTCTCTGCCGCTGCTGGTAGTCCAGGTGTGAGTCTGGCGGTGGGCAGATGTCGTGGGTCTTGTGTGTCTTCTCCCTGTTGGACGTCGGAGCTGGAGCTTCAAGATTCGTGGTGTGTATGAGTAGCAAAGAGATTGGCCCGAAGGGAGGTTGAGAGGCCCTCGGCTCACTCTGGTGACGACGCGGACGGACGTCTATAGACGTGGTTCCATCCGTACAAGCAGACCCCTCTCCGCTGTGAAGCTGTGACGGGCCCTCAAGTGACGGGATGGGGGGTGGAGAACTAGCGGCGTTTGAGTGGGCGGTCGAGACCGAGGCGAGGCGATAAGGGAAGATCAGACAGTGGAGGCGGGCAATGAATTGTTCAGTCGTGTTTCAACCGTCTTTGCCTGGGAGATCGAGAGCTGAACCCCCAAGAACTGTGACCGGAGTAGCGACTTCCCATGCAGAATGGGCGATGATGCGTGAGAGTGAAGAAGAAGAAGGGAAGACAAAGTCGGAGTGATTGCGGGGTCATAGCATGTTCGAATGCGGGCATCGAGAGGGAGCGTCCAAGAGGACATTCCGCTCGGTAGGGAGGTTCCTCACTGGTCAGTGGATAGCCGGGCACTCGGCTTTGGGGCTGCTGGGGGGGGGTCATGATGCAGCGAGCGTCCAGGTCCAGCGGCTCACTCCAGTGGAGTCACAGCGGACAGTGAGAGCGAGTGCACTACCGGTACCTGGCGGCCTCTGGTCGAGCTGCGAACTGCGGGCGCGCCAATGAAGCTCCACCGCGTGAAGGCTGTTGATTCGCCGTTGCAACGATTCTGGGACTAGAGGCTTCTTGGGGCCCACCGGAGCTGCATTGGGCAGAACATCATGACTTGACTGCGTTGTCACATGGTATCTTACCATTCTGAACATATATGTCGCTTCCAGCTAGGCAGTTTCGCACAAGTGATGAGGCTATTAATGCTGGCTAGGTAGCTATCTTGGGCAGCTACCTCGTCTATTGTTGTTCCGGTCTGCTTCTTTAACATGGGTGGATACCAGGATACCAGGATTCCAGAGGATCTGGGACCTCGCCCGACCTGAGAGGCTGGTCGAACTGTCTGTCTGAGGCGTCCCACCGCTTGGGCGGCACGGGGTAAGAGTATGCCGATTCGATGCATACTAACGTCATTTTTGAACCTCCCCCTGCCCAACTGTCGCCATCCAACGACCCGACATGAGCGATCCACGACTGTGTTGTGAATCGGCGGCAGCGCTTCCGAGCTGTGTCGACATGTCTTGGCAATGAAGCTGAGCAGCAAAGCCCTCATATAGCTTGCGCGATCACGGCCCCCTGGGTCTTCGGATGCTGCTCTCTGGAGTAATAATCGGCATCCAACGGGCGCCAGCAGCGGTTCTCCAAACCACCAGGCCGGCTGGGTTGGGGAATGATCCCGCCATGCATGTCGACGGCGCATTTCCACTCGACAGTGGCTCCAACCCCGCGTAACTTGCCTGCCGCTACCCAGCCAACCATACCAGTTCCACGAACACCCTCTCGAGGCTGCTCTTCTGAGGTTCTGACTAAGAGCAACCGGGTAGTCGTCGACTTCTGTTCGTTTGCTCGAGGGTGACCATTCCCAGCTTGCGCATGCATATTGTGGCGTCTGAGCTCAGGGCCTGATCGAGCTCGATGGCTTCAGCGAATGAGCACATGTCTCGTTCACCGGAGACACAGGCCCATCGTCTTGTTCAGCATCGCCACAGTCATGTCGTAATGCTTCATGCCATTCGCAATAGCGTCGTCGGCTATCTGCTGAGTTCTACTTCCGGTCAATTTCTCTCCGTCACCACCACTGGCAATCGTCTCAACGGGGGCTGCTGCGAAACTCACTTTTTCTTGGGTTGACTGGCTGTTTTCACGGCAGATCGCCAGGTCTCGGGTTTTTGACGCGCATAGGCTGTGCGAATGAGGTTCTTCAGAATGCTATGTTCCAGGCCGCGCTCCAGGGCAGCCGAGTTGATGAACCAAATGGTGCGCTTGACGCTCTCGGCCTCAAAGGTCGTGTTCTTGTCACGGAAGGCTGCTCGGAGCTGGTCGCGTGCTGTGTACCGACCCTTGACAGAGAACTGCACAGCCCGGAGAAGGCCGCGGTAAAGGTGCCTGTATGCGTGTAATATCTCCTGCCTCGACATGATTGCTGTGATTGATATAGGTGAACAGCGTTTCCAGGTGACATCTTCTTGAGAAGGGCCCAAGAACATGTGCCAAGTAGGGGATTGTCATGTTGCTGACTCAGCCGGTTACCAGATCACGTGTTACTTCAATTGGCGGGAATCACCAATGACCGTAATCGTAAGGATCAGTTCGCATCTCAACAGCTTGAGAAGTTCGGTACCTTCTTGTGCAGTAGCAATTCCACCAATTTACATGTTTAGTTTTGGTTTGCTACTTGCTTCATTTATTTGACTGTTTCCTCCGACCTCTCTCTACTACTCATGTCGCAGATTCCTTCTCTTTCTGGCTGATCATGTACTGCAGCAGAGGCCCCTTGGGAGCATCGTCCCGCCCCAAGAAGATCTCTACCATCCTCAGTTCCTTCTCGTCATGGAGTGCCCCGCTCTCTAGCACGGTCTGCAGCTCGCGCCATGTCCTCGCAGATGCGGTATATGTGCTCTTCTTGGCGCCGAAGAAGCTCGGTGCTTCCAGGTACCGCAGCGGGGAAACGTCGTTGTACGCCTGGTTCCGTCCGTGGATGCAGCGTTCAATCGTATATCCGTCATTGTTGATGAGGAAGATGACAACGTTGAGCTCGAGACGCACGATGGTGGCCATCTCCTACACCGTCATCTGGAAGCTGCCGTCGCCGATGAACAGGATCGTCTTGGGCGTCGACGGACCAGAGGACGGGGCGGACGCGAGGAGCTCCCGCTGGGCCAGCGCGGCGCCCTGGGCGCCCGGCAACATGTAGCCGATGGAGAGCCACGTCACGGGCGTGAACAGCCGCGTGTCGGGCGGCAGCGGCATTTCGCGGACGCCGTAGCCTGCGGTGCCGGTCTCGCCCAGCACAATGTCGCCGGGGTTGACCATGCCCGCCAGCACCTTCCACAGCGCGGACTGTTCGAGCGGCTCGTCCATGGGCATGTCGGCGATGCGCAGGGACTTGTCGCGAGGTAGCTCTGGGTAGGGGCTGTACGAGGCCACGCGGCTGAAGTCGAGGGCGCTGGCGAGCTGGGAGACGACGGTCTTGGCTGATACGTCGCGAAACAGCTTGCCTCCGACCTGAACGCCCTTGGTGGTGAAGAGGACCGAGACGTCCTCGTTGGGAATGCTGGTCCAGGCGCTGGTGTTTGTGGAACTGAAGTGCGGGCCAAAAATGAGGATGAGATCCGCGTCGCCGATGAAGCTCTGCACTGCCGGGTCGTCGTATTTACCCCGGTAGATGCCGTGGAAGTTTGTCAACGTCTCGTTGGTCAGGCTTTTGCCGAAGGGCGTCGTCCACGTCGGCCACTTTGTCCCCTCGACGATTTGCTCGGCCTGTTTGCAGATGCCCAGGGGTCTGCTTTCGCCGTCAACAAAGATGACGGGCTTCTTCGCGTCGTAGATCTTCTGGAGAACCGTTTCGAGCACATTGGTCTGTTCAGCGTCCTGTTCGCCCTGTGGAACCTCGATGGGGGTCTCGAGCCTGCCGGCCGAGAGGGGCTTCGCCACCATGTCGACGGGGACCTCGATATACACAGGCCGGCTGTACAGCAGACACTGCCTCAGGACATGGTCAATCTGCTCAGCGCTCGTCCGCGGATCGGTGAGGCAGGCCTGGGCCACCGTGACATGGGCGTGCATGGCGGCGAACCGACGATACTCGCCATCGTTGAAGGTGTGATGAATCAGGAGGCGGCCGTCTATGGAGGAACGAGGCGGGATGCCAACAATGTGAACAACGGGTGCGAACTCGGCGTAGGCTCCGGCGATGCCGTTGACGGCGGACAGCTCACCGACGCCAAAGGTGGTGATGACGGCGCCGATGCCCTTGATCCTCGCATAGGCATCGGCGGCATAGGCGGCGTTGAGCTCGTTGGCATTGCCAACCCAGCGCAGGCCTGCCGGTTCGACGTAGTCCAGGAGCTCCAAGTTGTAGTCTCCAGGCACACCGTGGATCGAGCCAACACCCAGCTGGCGCAGGCGCCCAAAGAGGTAATCTGCGAGCGTCACTGTTGAAGCCATTGTGTGATCAGTCAAAGTGAGCTCGATAAGGGGTTGCTACTTGTGAGAGGGGAAAAGGATAGTCGAAGTATCAAGGATTATGTCAGTACAGGAAACGGGCTTTTATATGAGCTCGCCTTACCCCAACCATCGACAAGGCGCACGAATGCCGAGGGCGTACCATGAGGTTTGAGGTTGGTCGGCGAGCCCCTCAGTAGGGCGTGATCCTAGGCCCGGAATGTGCTGGGCCAGGGCGTCTCGTTCCCCTGTTGGGCTTATCACGCTCCCTTCTCCGCACGCCCTGTGGATCGGCTTCCCCAACCCGCCCGGCCGATGCTCGTTTCACTCCGATCACGACAGCCGCTCCTACCCGGCGCATGTCCTCTCGCTCCAATCAATCGCTCCACGTCCGTCTCGGCTCGCTCCGGACTCGGTGGCCCTGTCAAACATGTCTGAGAGTGGGACAGCATGTTTATGTAAGTCAGGCGACGCCTTGAAGACATGGGACATGATGAAATTGATCCAGGGTACTGGCGGTGTAGCTACTTCAGCAACAGTATCACGACTTGTTTCCAGGATGGGTGGCCATTGAAGCCGTTCATATTGACAGATTCGTCGCCCCTCTTGAGCATTTGAGAAGAAACCAAAAAAGGAACACAACGATAAGAACAGGGTGAGATGGAGATCATGAAAGGCTGCAAAGGGACCCGCAACCTGCTGTGCAACTACCATTGATTATTGATTGAGTGTCTTGTTGATTGATTTCGTCTCGACTTGAGCAATTCTAGCAGGTCAGGATCACTACCCGATGCTGATGGATGTCATCGGACATGAACGGAAATGAATGGCCTTGCGTCTGTTGTGATCAGACTCGTCGGAGAGTCGCAGCACCTAGAGGTGAGCTGATAGCTTGTTGCTTTGAGAGTCAGACTGACTTGTGTACCAAGCAAGGCCTTGAGAGTTGATGGGCGAAGCAAAGCGTTTAAAGCACACAGCCACCTGCGAACAGGTCGCCCAACAACATGACTTGTGCCAGCTTTTTAAACGTCACCTACAGCTCTCTCTCACATCCCTGCTACGCTGCCCACTGCTCATCTCTCCAGAGCGACGCCACAACTCGCGGCTGGCCCTTGGACTCGACACACTGGACTTGCATCATTCAATTCCACTGCGTTGAGTACAACTTCAACTTTGAACAAAAACACCGTGCATTGATTAGATGACCTAAGGGCCAACGTTTGCGACACGTCAGGGTATGTAGCCACGAATATGTACACGTCAAGACAAATCCCCTCTCTTCCGAGTTCAACACTCGTATAATCTTCACTTAAGAAAGCAACATTCATCCAAATCCTCAAAACACACCAACACAAGCATGGGTGTTTCCCCACAGATTGTTGCACCCGCTGCCGGCGCCCGAGTTCCACTTGACAAAGTTGGCCATGGTGATCTTCTGGTAGCTGACAATCTGCTGGCACGTGTTGCCCGGCGAGACGAAATGGAACTTGTTGCAGTTGCTCACCATGCCGGGCTGCGTCGGGGTCGGCGTGGTGACGCCGTTGCCGGGCGGCTTCGTGGTCGTCGGCTTCGTAGTCGTCGGCGTCGGGGGCGGCGCCTGGCCGCCGATGACACCGACGCAGGCGTGCGTCTTGGACCAGAGGCCCGAGCAGTCGCTCTTGACTGCTGGGTTCCACTTGAAAAAGTCGGCCAGGGTGATCCTCTGGTAGCTCAGAATATTCTGGCACTTGTCGCCCTCGGAGATGTAGTGGAACTTGTTGCAGTTCCTGACCATGCCGTCCTGGATGGGCTGAGGGGTGGTGATGCCGTTGGACGGGGTCGTGGGCGTGGCTGGCTTGGTCGTCGTCGTCGTCGTGACGGCGGGGACATGGCCGATGACGCCGACACAGGCGTTCGTCTTGGACCAGAGGCCGGAGCAGTCGCTCTTGACGGCAGGGTTCCACTTGAAGAAGTCGGCGAGGGTAATCTTCTGGTAGCTCAGAATGTCTTGACACCTGTCGCCCTCGGAGATGTAGTGGAACTTGTTGCAGTTGCCGACCATGCCGTCCTGGATGGGCTGAGGGGTGGTGATGCCGTTCGATGGCTTGGTCGTCGTGGCAGGCGCCGTCGTTGTCGTCGGCGTGCCGGGCACCGGTGGCTCCTCGCCAGAGGCTTCCACGCAGTATGAACGACCGTTGAGAAAGTTTCCGCAGGACGAAGTGATGGACGGGTTCTGGCGACGGTGTTAGCACAGTCGCTACAAAGAATCCGTTAGAGGCGGGTTTACCCATCGGAGGAAGTCCTGCATGCTGATGCCCCATTCAGCCGGCATGTTGGCACATGGGATTTGGCCTTCATTGTCCCACCACCAGGAGCACTTGGTAATGGTGTTTGGGTCGTAAGGGAAAGCCGGTTTCGCATCCTGCAGCAACCTCATGGGCACATCTTCATGTGCCTGGGGCCGGGGAGCGGCAGATGATGCTGGGACGAGTATCAGGAGCAGGCCTGCCAGCATGGTGGAAGAGATGGTGAAAGAAGGCATTCTCAAGAGAAGAGAGGTTGGTGGACAACGAGTCTGTGTCAAGCTGGTGAGCACGATGAAGCAACAACCAGTGTGAGGCCTGGGTCAAGGTTTATATTCTTTCCACCGCCAGACTCTTTCCACGACCAAAGAGTCATGCCATTTCTGCTTGTGCTGACAATGGCGGTCTTGACCGCAGGCGACTTTCTCAGCTGCCTCCCTCTGGATAGACGGGCTAACTCAATCCATAATCGCCAAGGCGTCCCAGACCGATACAGGTGAAATGCTCTCGTTCTGTGATTGTTCAACCGACGCCCACTCAGTATCCACGATGGCTTAAAGGGGCAAAAGACCCAGGATTTCACTAGGTCACCTGCCATAATGTCGACAAGCTCGGTCAATAGACGATGCGCAGGATCTAAACCCTGTATTCCAACACCACCTCGAACCGCTTGGCGAGGGGTATACTGAGAGGCCCCGAACAGGCCCTGCGCCGGACAGACCGGTGCCTTTTCCCTCCCAGCACCAGCGGGTATCGAAATGTGCCACGCATGCTGGCGGGGATGCGAGAATGCCATCAAACCCACATCTTAACCCTCGTCTAGAGCGGAGATGAAGCCAACCGCGGTTCATGGCCTGTAACAAGCATTTGCAGTCCAAAGAGGGGGCAAATTTGGCAAAGTTCGACTGGCCGCTCTCGCCACGTCCTTCGGCTGAAGAGAGAGTAGACGAATGATTCAAGCAACTCGCGCATCTCTCGGCACTTGGCACCATCGAAGGAAGCTTGGCTGCTCGTTGCGTCGTCCTAAACATCAGCGGCGGCTCTTGGCCTGCAGAGGATGAATAGTAAGTGCGTGGGCAGCAGCAAGGTACCATGCAATGATGAGCACTGGGGCTAGTAACGAGCTGCCCGAATAGGTAGTGCTGGCCAGGGTGGAGCGAACGGGAGCATCCGAAGACCCTCTTCACCAGCATCGTGAGGAGGGGATGCAGTTGAGAGTCGACAGGGGGTTCAATCATCGCCAAGAGCCCCAGACTGACCTTCTGGTCATCTTAAAGCGCATACACACTAACTCGCTCACAGTTTTAGGATACGTAACTCAGGGCGAAACCTCGGCCTAGATCATGTTTGTGGCCACGATGGTTACACTCGAGGATTGAGGATCACGTTTTTCCCACTCCGATGCAATGTGACGGAACAATGCGAGCGAGCGGCCTGCTGCTGTCCTGGCAAGGGTCGGTCTAGGTCTAATTTCACATGATTCTTCAAAGCCAGCAGCCAAGTCTATGGTCAGCTGGCTTAGCAACTCCTTCGCGGTCATGTACGGAAATCATTCACACGAGAGAGAAGACTGATTCGAGAACCGCCGCAGTCACTTGGTCTGCCCGCGCATGCCGAACAAGACCAAACTCTTAACGGTGCTTGGTCTGTCACTACCCTTTGATCTTCTTCTTCCGTTTCTCTTCATCGGATTCTCTTCAGGTTGCCTGTATAGTCGTTCTTTCACTTACGTTTGACTACCCTGCTACTAGGTAGCTCGACATCATGTGGTCGAAGATACTACCGCTGCTGCCGCTGCTGCCGGCAACGGCGGTCATGGCATCACCAACCCAGTCCCTGACCCCAGTCTCAGAAAATCGCATTCTGCATGTCAAGACATGCCCTCGATCTTGCGACAAGGCTGGCGGCGACCTCGAAGAATGGAGCCACTTTCACGACTTGGAAGGCCTCGCCGTCTGTCCCGAGCCGGTTCTCCTCTCCTTCAACCTCTACACGCCGCTTGATGATCCCAAGTCCGTCATCAGCATCCGGGCCTGCACTCTCGGCGATGCCTCTACCGAGGACAACTTCCTCGCTGAGACAGAGTACGTAGCCCCGGATGCCAAAGGTGAGACCAACTTTGGCCCCGATGGACCCTCCCGTCGCAGTATCAACGAAACGGTCGTCGGTGACGGCGCCACTTGCGGCTTGAACACTCCAAACAACATCAAGGTCACGGCTCTGCTCTCTTCGTGGGATGCTGACCGCGACATCTCAGATTTTGGTCTTACTACGCCGGCTGCTGAGTCTAATGAGAACATCAAGCCCGACGTTGGCCGTGCCATCGAACAGCTGTCGGCCCATGTTAGCAAAGACAAGAGCTGTGACGAGCTCATCTCTTTTGCCTATCTCCGCGGTACCCTCGTTGGCCTCTACGCGGGAGGCCTTATCGACAAGAAAAAAACATCCGCATCCATGCTGAAGAAGCTGGCCAGCGAGATGAAGGGAGCCTCCTCGCCCACGGCCCGCAAGGCCCTTGAAGTCTGCGGCGGTCAGCGATCGTCAGCCGATACCTTTGGCGTCGTAGCCGACAGCAGCGGCGATTTTGCCGCCGTCCAGAAGGTCATGAAGACGTGGAGCAACGGCCAATGCGTGTCCGACAAGCCTGAGGTCAACAGCACGCCCCTCAAGGATAGCGACTTGTGGTCCTTTGACTTGTCGCCTCCCATCGAACCCTCGCCC